TCAAATTCTTGAAATTAGCATTTAAACTATGTTAATAACAGTTTTCTATACTTACTAAATAATGCTTTGAGCTTTGACCACTAGATGGTGCTTCCAGAAAAAGAATCATTCATTGTTTTAAATTTCTGAAAGAAATTGAGTTTTGGGGGGCTTCATCTAAGGTAATGAGCAGTTGAACACTGCCCTGGTTACTAAGTGCCACTGCATCAACAATTTTTGCAGTTACTAGTACAGATCACTTAAGGTACAGGATGCATGTAAAACGGAATGTCAGCAAAATCAGAGAAGGGTAAAAAAATGACTGGGTACCCAGTCTCAAACCAAAAACAAAACAAAACCCAGACCAATTTTACAAATTAAGCATCCTAATTAGTGAGTTTTGTGAGTCCTACAAAGTAGCCTAGAAATAAAACTGAGATGGTGTGAAAAATAGGTTCTAAAAGCTTGATGCTTGAGTTGGATTCCACCAGTCATTAGGACAGTAAAGAATAAAATGTTCACAGCCAGCATGCATCAAGGAATTAAAACTTTTTCTCCTCATAGTGATGAATTGAGTGGGTTTTACAAAATACTGATATGTAGGACAACTCCACTTCTGCCATCTGTTGATTACTCTTCAATGCACAACCAACAATGGCTTATACAGAAATATGAATTCACAATTCTAGTTTTGTAGCTCCCCGCTTCTGAGTTAAGGATGAGGGAGAACTCTCCTTTTAGACTCAACATATAATCTTCATAGCAGATCAAATGTCAGAACTGTTGGTCTTATTATGTTACACAATAGCTAAGGCAATAAAGAAGGAAAAAAAATTTTTTTTTTCTCAAATAGCTCTAGACACAGTGGACTGGTGTCTTATTTCCTGGGAACAGCTTATTTTATTACGCAGCAGATACCCCCGAATGAAGGGCAAACTCCAGCAAAGAACAACAGAAATGCAACTGGTAATGGGACTCTCTTGCTATTCAGAATATAATCTATCTTCAGATAAATTAGCAATGGAAAGGGCTTACTTTTTCCTTCACTCCAAAAATTTACTATGCTTAGGAGGTGTAGAGGGAGAAGTGCACCTAACATACGTTTGGTGCATTATGTAGAATAAAGTTTATGGAAAGGGAGTAGTATGGGTGGATGTAAAAAGCAAGGAGAGCTAGATCTGCAACTCATCAGAGTTCTAAAAACATGTACAAAGAATGCCTGGGTTATGCCCAACTCCTGATGGAATGTTATTCTACTCTTTACACAGACGTGCACATTCATTCTTTTGTGGGACAGACCTCATTAAAATAGCCTCTGCCTCTCCCGAGGCATAATTTTGAAAGACAATTTCCACAAAGGAAGGGAAGGCCATTCAACTCATGGTACTTCAAATGATTTGAGGCAGATGTGGACTCTTGCACTCCATATGATGTTCCACTGACAACCAGCAGATTGCATTTCTATAGAGTTACTAGTCAGGAATGGCAATGTTGAAAAGGCTTACATGAGTCTTCACAAATGAATATATTCAGTTCCTTCACCAGCCCTGGGAATGACAGTTGCTCTCTGGAGATTGATCTGAAAGCCAGATGGCATCAGTCACAAGGACTAGATACCACAGTCATAACAATTCAAGCACACGGGACTTCCAAGTGGGCCCTCATGCCCTCACTGTCAATCTCCACGGTAGAAAGATGGTAAATCATCTGTCAAACAAAAGGTTTCGTGTAGAAAGTTCACCTAAATACAGCAAAAAATTATGTACTTAAGCTTCTCGACAACCAGAACTATTTACCCATAATCTGTGCTAATGGTAGACAAAAATATAAATAAGGAATTTTCATACAAGTACTGTTGATGGGGAAGGAGGTTTAGTCAAACACTGGAATAATGCCTTATTTTCATTTGCTGTGGCTCAGTGTATACTGATTCAGAAGATCAGATGTCTCCTTTATTCTTGTGTTGTACTAATCTTAAGGGGACCATCTAGACTATGCCTGTATTAGGCAGAGTCTGTATCTAGTATCAAGTAATATTTTTAAAAGATTGAATGAAAAATTAAAAGGCTGTCGCCCATGGAAATACGTTCTGACGGCTAAGTTCTCCTTGCTTTTCTTTTCCACTATCTAGTTTGAGAAACCTAGTAATTTTTATTATTGCTGATCATTATCCCCAGGGTGGTTTCACACCCCTTTCACAGCCAGGAGAACTTGAGAACCTACCAGTTTTGCCAACACTTGAAAAAAGGAGCCACCGAAGGTAAAATGCCAAGTCAATGGCAGTCTTAAGAGAGATGGCAAGGCACTTGACAATGGTGTCCATGACTGGCTCCCCTAAGTTTACTGAATGGAGGCTAACCTACTAAGAACAGCCTCTGTTCCTATCAAGGTTACTCTTAGACTGCCTCTAACCTGGGGGCTAAGATTGAAAAAGAATAGCAACTTCAGACCACACATTTCTCTACTTAGAAAAATAATACTACCTAGACTTTTAAACATTGCTCAAAAAAATCTTTACAACTGATGCAGAATGTTCTTAAAATAATAGTATACAATTGATACAATATTAAAAATAAGGGGCTTAAGAATAAAGCCAATTATACTTTCAATGAGACCTAAATGTTTAATTCTATGATAATGTGTTATATTCTGGTATCAAAGAATTGTTAACCCTTCTGTTGCCACTGATCCCATCACCAGATTTCTGTCTTTACAAATTGTGGTGTAGTACGAGGGAGACAGCTCTTGACTCATGGTTTCATTATCTAATGGCACAGATGAATCTGACTTTACTTACATTTAGTTTCTTTTGAATGCTCATCTCATGGCTTTAAGTAACCTCTTTCCAGGAATCAAAGCACCAGCCACTTTGCTTCGTCATTTATCTCACTGCCCAACAAAAGCATAGATTACCTTCTCATACAGAGGGGACCACTCCTAGGGTCCTGACCAATTCATGCTACCAATAGTACTTTTATGATCTACGTACTAGAGCTGGAAAAGATGCAGATAAGCAAAACTATAGGTAAGCAATGAACTTGGAAGGTAACTTCTTCAAAGGCATGACTATGTTCTACTATCTACTGTTGAATTTGAAAATTGTACAACAGGTAGAGCTTATTTAAGTTATGGAGCCCTGAATCTGACTCATCACAACCAAGTCAGCACTGGAAATCAGACTCACGTAAATGGCAAAAGTGTGTGTTTGGATGTGGGTGTATCTGAAGTGATCCAGTGCTTTCATGACCAGCAGATATTTTGCAAACAGTGTGGCAAAAACCTCTGGGTCACTCTGAGAAGACACTGTCAATCAGCCCTTGTTAACGATGCTGTCATGTGGGAGGGAGCTGGAATGTGCTTGTGTGGGGTTCATTTCTCATGGTGCAGGACACACGGGTCCTGGTGAAAAACCATGGACACAAGGTAAAGCAGAGCTTCACAACAAATAAAAAGGCAGGAATGGGCTTACTTTAAGGTATCTTTAAATATAAATTGAGCCCCAGAGGCAGAAAAGTCATCTACTCATTTTAAACATGATTAAGACCCATAGATCAAAAACCCTAGTAACAAAAAACGGGATTTTTTTTTTTTTTAGTTTTGTCCAAGATGAAGAGAACATATTAAACAGAATTTTGTGACTTAAACTTCACTCATATTTCCCCTTGAAGTGAGCTTAAAACTAGCATAATTTTGATACCAAAAGTAAGTTTGAACAACCAATACAAAAAACAAAACTAACTATAGAATTTTTTCCCCAAAAAAAACTCCCAAAGCAGAATCCCAATCCCAAACAACTTGTATAAGAGATGCAGGTAACAGAAAAAGGGTCAAATAAAACAATGGTTCCTGAATTTAAAGGAAGGATGCCCACTTCTCTTTCTCAAGAGGCAGATGGTCAGCTGAAAAATAAAAACATTGTATCAATAGGACACTCCAAAGGAAAAAATTGCAGCCATCTCTGTTCATGCAATATCAAATGTTAAAAAAAAAAAAAAAAATCCCAAACACCAAAACAACCCACAAGCCCACAAAACTAACAGAAGGAAGGAACACGTTGCCCAGATCTTATGACCTGATGGTAGTGAGGATCCTGATGGGGCTGTTCAGAATGTTGCTCATGGGACAGAGAGGTCGGGAGTTACCATGAGATCAAGTTTGCCCTGGAGGTGGGTCCACCTCAGGTTAGGGTCCATGAGTTCTTGGATCAGCAGCATCAAGAACATGACAGCTAAGCAAGAGGATTCCGGCACAAGACCTTGGGTCTGGGCCCAAGTTTTCTGTTTCATTCTATTTCCTTTTAATTAATATTATTAACTATTTTTGGTAGTGAAGTCACTTCGGTAGCCACTGTGGGCAGTGGTTTGTAAACAAACATTGACAAATACAAACAGCAGTGCAATATTTGACCCAGACTTTAAAAGAACGGGAGGCGATGGTGGAAATGAGGTAACTCTTCCCCAACACGTGTGAACAGACAGCTCCTGCTCTTCTAATGCTCTATGTCCATTAGGAGAGAGTAGGGCTTGTCAACAGGATGGTTACATAAAGAAGAAGCTACAGAAGAGAAAAAAGAAAGGTTCAGATTCAAATTTGGTTCTCAAAACCTTAAAAAAAAAAGTGCTTCTCTATAACAAGCTGTGAAAGAACAGCGATGTGTCAGTTAGAGGGATGATGTCACTGAGCACAGCTGGAGGCACAGTGGCAGCGTGGGCACCGCAGGCACGGGTCAGAGAAGAGAATACCTCTGCTGGGCACCCAGACATGTGAATCCACAGGGCAGGCAGGGACAGGAATGGAGGGAAGGGGGTGGGGACCATACGTGAGCCGCAGGACACGACATGGCAAAGTGTCTTGGAGAAGCTGGAGCTGCCCGTTGAGCAGCATCTGAAGTCCACCACGCAAGGCAAGAGAGCGTGAGACACTGCCATCCCTAGTTAATTTATCCAATATAATAAGCACGTGTATGTACATATGGATATCAAGCAGTGACTAAAAAGAACTCACAAAAGGGCACACAAAACAATGTTTGGGTAAAAATATATTTTCCCCTGCTTAATGTCTTGGCACTAGTGATATATGCATAGATTACCTGTTCACCACTCTCCTACCTTAACAGACACCAAATTATGCAGCACGCTGCTGATTAATTTCATACTTGAAAAAAATGAGACTTCACAATAATACAATTATTTTAGTTCTTAAAAAAGACAAGTGTCTAACATGCATCTTACATATATGACAATTCTGCATTAACACTGAAAGTAGATTACACAACAGTTTTAGAAAACACATCGGTTATTTTCAAACAGCAAAATGACAAGAATCTACAGCTACAGTTTAAGGCATATCAGCATATTTTAAAAATTAAGAAATAGACAAAGTTCTAATGCTGTTCACAGCTTAATTTTCAATTTATTTTTTAAAATTCCCTTCATACCTACATACAAACTAGACTTTGTAGGTCATAATTCCTGCTAAAGAATCATCGCACATGTCCTGCCAACAGAACCAGGACTTTGGAAGCTGAGACTTGACAATTCCAGACACTTGCAAGGGGCAAAGCCAAGGAATCTGAATGGACAGTTCAGGTTGGACCACACAGAGACAGCATGACGTGGGCCAGGAACAGCTGAAAAACCCGACTCAACAAACCATGTGTGAAACATTTATGGATACATCAAGAAAGTCAGGAAAACATGTGCGTTCATCGGAGGTGCACAAGATATGGAAAATAAGCATATTGCTGGTGAGTTACAAAGCAGGGAAGGAAGATTACAAGACACCTTGCCCAGCGTTGTTATCAAACAGTTCCCTGGTTGAGAAATGATGCCTTTTTAGACAAAACCTTGACCATTAATGCAGAGCCTATGCTGGGAAAACCCAGTCTCTGACCTGCAATTAAATTCCCATACGTGCTCTTCCATCACATCCTACAACACATGCAACTGTTGGGGGTATGTACAGTCCAGAAGAAAGAAAAAGACGGTTATTATATTTGAACAGAAGATGGGGGGGAGGAACTGTAACTAACTGGCCAAAAAAGAAAAAGAAACAAAACAATGACCACTGTTACTGTTAGCACCAAGGAGAGCCCATTTATCAAGATCCAAAATTTAAGTGATCATGAAGTCGGCCCAGCATAAAAGGTTTCTTTCTTTTTGATTTGCTCCAGTGGAAGGTGGCAGTTTCTCATTCTAGTTTACAATGTCAGAGTCAAGGACTCTGTGTAACATCCAATGATGCCCATGATACTGTGCAGAACACAGGCTGGGATCAGGATTTCCGATTTCCACATTGAAATCAAGGAGTTGAAAAACATGTAAATTGTCGGGGGGGGGAAACATGGCCACTTTAGATATTTTTAATTTGTTTAGAAGAAAAGTTACTCAGACCATTCTCTCTCTACCCCCTCAAAAAAAAAAAAAAAAAAAAAAAGGAAAATCCATCCATCCCATTTGTTTTCTCTAATTTTAAAGCGTTAGAAAGATCTGGAAGATTTCTCACTACTATACTTACATGCAAAGGCGAAAGCACATCCAATTAGATTTGAGGATATCATTTATTCCGTGCAGAGCCAAGGACTACTGTGAAAAAAGGCACAGATACAGAAAGAAAAAGAGCAGCAATAACAAACTAAACAGGGCTAGGGAGCAGTGGTAGAAAAAAGTTCAGAAGCAACACATTTTTTTGAAAAAAGCTTCTATATGTTTCTTTTGACTTTTTATTCCCTGACTCTCCATCTGATTCATTTTGCTGTGTAAATTTTAATGCAAAAAAAAAAAAAAAATCAATCCAATCAATCAATCATCTTGGAATCAAAAAGTCAGCAGGATGCTTTTCGTGCTAGGCTTATATTTAAAAGCTTTCAGGGATGCAAGAAATAGAATTGAAAAGTATGTTTTCTGGTTACAAGGCACAAAAATGCTCACACAAGCAGTGGTTGGAACAAGCATATGACACAAAGATTCAAGCTTTTGTGTACTGCTCAGCATAGGAGCAAACGCAGCCCATGGTTAGAGTCGGCATGCTGTCTAGTGCTGGACAGCCAGCTTCAGAGCCTCAGAACTGCTATACAAACAAAAGCTAAGATAAAAATGATGGTCTAATAGCTTCTCAACCTGTGAAGACCATAACTGCTGCTGGTCTAGTTGGCAGGGTCTTTCCCAGCTTAGTTTGCATTCCAGTGAAACTCATTTCCTTACTTTGCCTAATTAAGCCTACATCAGGTTCATGGGAGAGTGTCCCTTCTTTCCCCTCAGTATGACTGGGGACAAAGAGAAGGTTGGGGGGATCTTTGTTGGAATCAAATACTTATTACTTTAAAAACAAAGTGTGTGTCAGGGGAAGGGAGGTGCAGCATATTCTATCTTGTTTAACTTAATATGCAACTGGCGATGGTCAGAGGGGAAACCCAGAGGTGACGTGTTGGGTTCATGAGAAATGTTATCCTTTTAAGTAAGAAATAGGAGAGGACAGGGTTAGAAAGCTGGGAGGATCTTGTTGGGATCAGGGGAACAAGCATATACAAAGGTAAGCATGTGAAAGGACTGGCACAGAAAAGAGATCAGATATGCCCTTCTCCATACAAATCAGGAAGGTAGTATATGTCCTGGCCTATGAGTTAGTCCCAACCCTGGATGAGACGGTGGGCCTGAGACACAAAGGGCAGGTAGAGTCAGTCATAGTGAGGGGACAAGTGTGGAAATTTCATTCAAGACAATTGGATCTGAAACATCAGCAAGGAAACTGGCAGTGAAGTTGAATTTCTTTTCTTTCCTTTTTATTTTTTTGGACTCATGGGTTTTGTTGCCTGCCTTCTCATTTTTACCTTAAATTGCTGATGTCTTTTCAAATTTGTGCTACAGATGACACACACACAATTTATAGCAAATTTCCTATGTGAAGTATTTGTGAAACTTTCTCTCGTGGTTAGTGAATAGTTTTATTACAAGTACCAATGTCCAGTGCCTCAGCCGGCTGAGAGCAAATGTAGGAAAGGGTCCTCAGTGTAAATAGATTGTGGGAAGCCCATCCTCCTCAGTGGAAGATTCTTCTATAATCAGTGATATAGGACCTGACCTTTGAGATCTTGATTGAAGGGAGGATGAAAAACACACTGGCCAACGTGAACATGATCATCATTTCCTTACACCAGTCGGTGCCAACTCGGTTAGGCTTTGAGTGGGTGTTCAGATGCAGTCTCAACCCCTGAGGGGAGACAGTTGGAACAGACCACAAGCTCAAGCCAATAATGTTAGCCATTAAAACAAACAAAAATTCATGCAAATGTAAAAGTCATCTATGATGCTCACCCACCTTTCTGCCTACATTCAAATCTATCTTAGTTTGGGGCTGGTGTGGAAAAAAAAAACAGGGAGTTCGGTATTGTGCAATCATAGAGATGAACAATCAAGAAAATGCAAGTTGTTGTCATGGCTATTCAGGGTTTTAGTTCAGCTGCTGAGGCGGTGAGAAGTTTTCACATCAGACGTACAGGTAGCATTTTACCCACTTTCCTCGATCCAAAGCGACATACAAGTAACAGGCATGCTTCCCGCTGCCATTTGGAACAAGCATAAAAAGGGCAAATCATTTAATTTCCAGAAACAAAGTCCAGCTGCACAGAGCCTTTGCTGTTATTCCCTTGTTCTATGGTTTTCCACCACCCGACAACATTCAGCAAAATGAGTTAAGAGTTATTGGTGTTTGGGGAAGGGCAAAACAAAAGGACACAGATGGCAGAGATACACTATTACTGCAAAAGCAGGTGAATGCGGGAACATCCTTGGCTTGCCAGGCTTTATGTGAAGCTTGCACTGCAAGTTAAAAACAAAACAAAAAAGTTAGAAATAATAATAAATAAAAAAAAGAAAGGAAAAATTAGGAGCGCCAGCACCAGCATTCAGTGATGGTGAATGCTCATGCAATGATTATGGAACTGACAGAAATTAAAAACCAAAAATCTGAATAGGCTATTCTACATGACAAGCAAAAGCAAAATTTTAATACTGAATCAAAGAACACGTGGTTAGTTTCCATTTGCATGTAATTTAGAATTCACAAGTGACTTCTTGAAACCACTGCATGTTCCGGTGGAAGGATTTACTGTTTGGTTTTTTGTTTTCTCAAATAACACACAACCATGATCTACTGGATGCTGTTATCACGTTAGCACTGAATAGGAACTTCATCTTCCACTTTTTGAGCTGCTAAAGGAGTCAGAGAATAAATACACAATAAATGCCTTTGTACAAATGACTTGGAAACATCTACAGTAGCTTGGGGATTAGAATATAGTGGATGAAGACATGCTACTAATCTAGTTGGGAAGGACAAAAAAAGATCATTATATGGTTACAGCTACTGCAATGCCGAGAGCTTTCCCCCTCTTTTAGGAACAAAGCAATGCCAAACCCAAGATCCATGTCTAATTTTAGGCAAATCCAAAACATGCAACTTTATTTCTTCGCAAAAATCAAAATGTATGTGTGCTTAAAAACAAAGGTGAGTAGATGGTTGGGTAAACTGTTACTCCATGCCAGTTTTTAAATGATGAATCTGAAAGCTTTCTTTTGGATTAGATGCATTTTAACCAGCTAATGCCTACTGGCAATTGTGCAAACTGTTTTCAGAAGAGATGAATGCTGTCCACTGAACAACTTACCCTCGGGCAGTCCCACCACTGTGGTGTAGCCGCAAACAAGGAAAGTGACTTGGTGGCCAGAGATGGCAGAAGGTGGGGTCCAGCTAATGGCAGTGCCAGGGTTAGTTCTACTTTGTAATCTTAGGTAATGTTATATACTCTCATGCCACTACAGGTCAAGGAGAAGTATAAAGCCTTACCTATGTTAAAAAAGGAGCGTGTCATTAGAATAGAAAAAGAAAATTTTAAACTATTAGAAAAACTAAGGTAAGCTTGAAGGGGGAAGCATAGCAGATTAAAAAAAAAAAAAATGTCTTTGTAAATTTTCTACCCCAAACAAAGCCAGCTCCTAAGAGGTGACTATGGCAGCTCTGGCACCTGATCCAGCTACACTAAGAGGAAGAGGCTGTTTCTGTGTGAGGTGCTCCTCTGGTTGCACTGCTTCCTGTCTTTCTGTGGGCCTCTCTAACCAAACCCTTCCACTGCCACAGGCAATAAGAGGGGTGGATTTTTGTTTTTCCACTATGACACTTCAGGCCTCCAACCAGCTTTCACTATACAAAGGGGATATGAAAAAACATGTGCTATTGTGGGGCACAGAACCTGGTAACTATTATGAACCAAGTCTAATGCCATTAGTAACAAAGGAGAATATATAAATAAAGCTAAAACAGAATTCACACAGATGCCATGTAAACTTTAAAAGCTTAATTGGTAAGGCCCAAGATGGGAAGAAAATAAGCTAAAATATCCAAGGGGCAAGGAAAAAACCTCCCTGTGCTGGGAAGTTGGTTACTACGTAGATTTTTTAATGGAGGCACAATATTGATCAGCTCTTGGGATTTCCATTACGTAAAGGCACATCCAGTATACATGAAATATTCTTTAACATTGCTGGTCTTCTATAAACATTTTTAGTATTAAGACTTGTACCTTGATGCACTTTAGTGTTTTGGGGAAAGAAACCTAGACTTTGGGTTCTCTAAGCTGAATCAGCTTTTTCTCTCATCCACACCTACAGACATACATGTACACACATACCATACACACACGTGCACCCTATTTTTATCTTGGGTTAGTCTGGATCGAGGGTACAAAGCCAAATGGCTTTCATGTGTCTTCACTGGAAGAGTCATGTAGCCTCTGAATTTGTGTGTGGACAACGTCACCCTAGTATCAGATACTCTTCCAACACACAGAGCTAAGAAACATTCTCTTGAATTGGATTATGATCTGAGCAACTGATTCTCTCAGAATTAATCCAGGATAACCAATCTGGGGCCCTTGGACTCCTCTTTGGTCACTTACATCTGTACCCACCTCAGTTAAAATCACACCTCATCTACACCAACTATTTCTGTTATTGCTTAGAAAAGATGCCTGCCCCTTTACCCTTGACACATTTCCTGCTACTTGGCAAGTCAGCGTACAAAGTGTAGCTTAATATTCTCTCCATGTGTCACTGTAGCAGCACATTTTGATCTTTACTATAAGGGGACAATGGCTGTGCTCACTTTTCCCTTTCAATTAGGATTGCACAGACAATCCTATGTGCTATATTTTTAAAGAATGTAATTTTTGCCTTTTTGAGTATCATATTTTTGTTGTTTGCCTGCTCTTTCCCTAGACCCCTATGGCATCTAAGGATGAAGAGCAAGAATCCTCAAACAAGCTCCGAGTTGCTTCATAGCTGCCCTAAGAGTATGGTAGGTTAAATAGACAAAAGAGGGTGGCATCTGTGGGCTTGCCACTGGGCCACCACATAGGTTTCCTTCAAAGGCCTTCTTATCACCATATTTACTATAATCAGCAGCTACTGTCATAAAACTCACTCTCTATTCTTTAAGGAGATTCAAAGGAGAGATTCAAGTAACAGAATTTCAAGGAAGCTCAAATCTCCCCTGGGTTCAGGCAGCTGCTACTGGAGCATCCTAAGAAGTGACCAACTCAAGAGCAGAATCTGAACTTTTGGCACATTGACTCAAGACCATATTTAAAAACTGTTTTGTGAGACTTGAGGGTTGGCAGGGTATGTTAACGGGAAGGGCATTTTGACTGCATTTCACAATAAGATCATTCACCACCTTGTTGAATTTAGAGGAAAACCAGTGGCTACAAGCAGCTCTTCCCGCTGTTTTAGTTTGGGAACGTGATTCTCAATGACTGGCTTGCCAGGCCTTACAACACAGAGTGGGAAAACAATTTGAACAATCAAGATTTTAAGATGCTCTTTATCAAGAGAATCATGAGAACTGTCTTCAGAGGTACTGAAGAGAGATAAACCTGTCTTCTCTGAGAATCCTAGCGTTGGTGCAGACGATGCTATGGGAGATGACAGGTTAGTCCATCCTGATTGCTTGATCAACGTGGTCAAGTTTTATAAATTAATCCTTGTGTACCCTTTAAAAATACTTTTAAAAACATTTATCATCTTCCCTGCACTGTAGAGAAAATACTTGCTTTTTATTTTTCTGGTAATAGACCAGTTTCCAGTCTGTCAATGGGTAAAGCAGACATGCAAGAGGAATAAATTGTTAGAGGTCCCCAGTAGATGGGGTGGCACCTGCTTACTTTTTCTTATCCTTGTCTTTCTTGGTTTGCTGGGCCCCAGACTGCTGGGCCTGGGACTGTAGTAGCTGCGCTGCTGCTTTCTTCTTCTGGAAATTGTTCACCTCGTCCTCGAGCTCCTTCTTCTTGTCTTCCACTTTCTTCTTCTCTTCTTGGTGTGTCCGCTTTAGAAGGTCAAACTTCTCGTGGAGCTGGAGAGAAAAAGAGGCAGACATGCTTGGAGAAGGGAAGGAAACTCTTACTAATGTAGACTATGTGAATCTGCTCAAAAACAAAAGTTGCATCATGTGGCTGCCGGTGCTTTCATTGCAGGAGCGAAGTACTGTCTGGTGGCTTATCGGAGGAGCCAGGCTAAGGTGTTCAGAGCATCCCTGAGTCCTAAGCTCCTTTGTTACTTGAGCTCCTTGGGGCTAAAAATTCCTTGAAAACCCTGATAAAAAGAAGATAACAAAAAAGTCCATCCTGGTAGTAAAAGCGCTTCTTTATTTCTGATTCTTTTTCACCATGTATGAAATACGTTAACTTAAGAGACAATGAGAGATATAAACACATATCCATATTTAAAAAACCACAATCACAGGATGGGGGTGTAGCTCAGTGGTAGAGTGCCTCCCGGCACGCGTGAGGCTCTGGATTCATTTTCCAGCAGACACACAGACACATTCAGAACCAAATACAGAGAGGGAGGGATGCAGAAAGGGAAGAAGAGAGGGAAGGAATGCTTACTAGATAATTTTAAATTTTTACCCATCATCCATTTAGTTCTTAAAGCCATAGCAAATAAAGCTCAATATTCCTTTCTTAGCAGCAAAACCATCTTGAGTGCTTAGTTATTCAAATGACCTCTAAGTTTTATTAGTCTTTTAAAGATAAATTAAATGCAACCCACCAGAGAGTGCCCTCCACTGTTGAGCCGAATTGTCTGATAGACTAAGATAATAATAACAGTTCCAGAATCCAGACTTTCATATGTCAAGAACTGTAAATTGAAGAAACACAGAGCTGCAAAGACACTATGATCAGGACTAGAAACCCAAGATCTAAATCATGCTACCTGTATGGTTCCCAGTTTTTCATCTGCAAAATGAGGATAAGATTATCTAGCTGAGTATGGTGGCGCACATCTCTAACGTCAGCAGCTCAGGAAGCTGAGGCAGGAGGATTGCAAGTTCAAAGCCAGCCTCAGCAATTTAGCAAGACCCTGTTTCAAAATATTAAAGAAAAATAAGCGGGGGAGGGACTGGGGATGTAGCTCAGTGGTTAAGCATCCCTCAGTTCTATCTTACTGTCAAAACCAAACCAAAACAAAAAAGATATCTGGCTCACTCTTCTTGCCAGGTTAGTATGCCACTTATGATAAAATATGTGCAGCAAGTACTTGAACTGGCATGAAATCCTATAAAATGCAAAAAAAAAAAAAAAAAGGATTATTAAAATAATTCTCCTAGATTTTTGTTTGTTGCAGGAGGACAGACAGCTTACCTCTTTCTCTGCCTCTTTAAGTTCAGCCTCTTTCTCCTTCACTCTCATAACAAACATCTGTCTCATCTCTTCTTCTTTCTTCTGCAATTCTCCCAGGAATTCATTCCTTTTTGCTTCATAGGTCTCCTGAAGACTATTCAAAATCCACAAACCAAGGGCAGGGTTATGAAATTGCATAGTTATGAAATTTCAGTGTACATCATTTCTACCCATCTACTTCCCAAAACAAAGATAAAGCTTCTGCCTACCATATTAAAGCTCAAATAGAATGAAAGTTTTTTTTGTTTGTTTGTTTGTTTTTTTAAGTTATTTACACTGAGATTGAAAAGACAAGGGCATTGAAAACCAGAAATGAGTCAATAAACACAATGCTGCACTAAGTTTTATCTCACACACGTTCACACAGGGATAGCCTGGGCTGAGGGTGTGATTTTGAGTTTTAGAAGATGAAGGTGGCCTAGTAGGGGGTGAAATGAACAGGGAATGAAGTCAGACAGAGCAAAATTTGAATTCTGGCCCCACCAACTGACTGACCTTGGGAAAGGACCAGCCTCTCTAACTCTGCAACTATGAGACGTGGATACAACACCACTTACCTTCTGGGATGCGATTATTAGAATTAGATGCAGGACAAGTGAGTAAAGGATTTGACATAAAATCAGTGCTTAATAAATGTTCCCCTTCCTCCACTCATCTCCCTCCAGCCCTCAATCTGAAAAACAGACTCAGTGAAAATACTAGAGAGACAAGAGTACTTCTAAGGGTAGAAGAGAAAACTGCTACTTTTCAAGTTATATCACCAAATGTAAATCGTGCAGGAAGGATTTTATTTTCATTTTAAGCCCCATCTTCTTCCGGTCTGCAGAACTGAGAGCCTAATATTTTATACTGAGTGCCATAACGCAGCTTTATCTCAGTCAGAACATTTACAGAGAAAACTACATTTACAGAGAAACTACCTTTGATAACACAATCAAGAAAACACACCCCACCCCACAGGTGCACTATAAATAGCTACTGATATTTTACAAGGTGTTCGCCCCCGCACCCCACCAGTTTCCCTAGCATAATGGTTGTATGGAGTCTGCAATACAATGTTTGTATTATATCTACCTTTACTCATGGACCTAATTCACCCCAGGGATAAACTACAAACTGAATATAAACTGTGGAGGACCCAGGGTCCCTGTAAAGCCCACACAATAGCCACAGAAACATTAGATGAAAAGAAGGGGGGGCAGGGCATGAACTGAACAATTAGGTTAGGATTAGAATCTATTAGTTAGGATGGTTGCACTTCTATAATTATCACCCTTATTAGTTTATGAGAAATAAATTCTCCAGTCCCCAACACTGCCAGCCCTATCTACTTGTGAACAACCATGAGTTTTGAGTTTCCATAAATATATTTAGCTTTCATATTATGAGACAAATACAAGTTGGACAGTGTTAATGTTAGGTAATACTAATAGCACTATTTGGTCTATAGTCACTGAGAGACAGAATTCTGTTGGCAAGAAAACTATAAATAATTCATAAATTTGGTTTTGTCAGCTTGTAATAAACTCTTGTAATAAACTCACTGTTATGTGGGTCAGAACTACCAAAGGAAGCTAGGCATGGGGGTGCACGCCTGTAATCCCAGTGGCTCAGAGGCTGAGGCATGAGGATCACGAGTTCAAAGCCAGCAACTTAGTGAAGCCCTAAGCAACTTGGCAAGATCCTATCTCTAAATAAAATATTTAAAAGGGCTGGGGTTATGTATATATAAAAATTGACTTGATGGTTAAGCACCTGGGTTCAGTTCTTGGTATGAAAAAAAAACTGCCAAAGGAAGAGAATGACTTGTCCTTATTATGAAATGTTACAGAAAACTCAATTTCTGTTGATTTTAGTAATGAACAAATCTCTCTTCTAACAAGCAATGGAATACCTTATCATGGAAATAATACCCAACGTGGTGTTTTAGAGATCACCACCTAGTTTCAAGATAGGATCTCTGAATGAGGTTTCCAAAACTGGGAGTTAGGTGCTGTGTGTGCTTCTCCTTAAAAGGATTCATAATGCACAGGGCATCCCCTGGCAGCACAGCAGGACCAATGGGCACACCTGAGTATACTTTTTCTAAATTCAGATTTCCAAGCCCACTCCTAGAGATGCGAATTCAGAACATCTGGCTAAGGTAACATCTGTATTGAAATGCTTTCCGGGAGATAACAGGTAACCAGCTGGCTAGCCACTGCTTATTTGAAGTGCTCTGAGAAGCCCTTCAGTGAAAGAAACAGGTGGACTTGTTTTAATGTTTTATCATAGGAACTTTCTGAAGGAACTCACAGATAGAATGTGGTTTGAGTAATGCTACCCCAAATACGGAGAACTCCCACGATGACTCTGTTGTATCTAGTCCCAACCACAACCTAACCCATGCCCCTGTTTCTGGAAATACATTTTCAAACTATGTATCACAGTCCAATCATAGATCTCAATCATGATTTTAAAAGAATAAGATTGAGACTAGGACAGAAAGCAACAGAGTGCAGTGCAAACAGAAGAGTTGGTGTGTCGACACCCGATCACAATGGAAAATGTTTTGTATACTCCAAATTCCTGTCTTGAATGCCCTGTCCTTGAGAAAGCCTAAGAGCATCTTTGCTATCAGCAAGACTGGTCTCATTCACAGGCTGGTAGTTCCCTGGGCCAGCACAGGGGAAAAGGACTCAACAAATGCTACTACTTAATTATTCTGTACCCTACGATGTGAACTAGCTTTGACATGGGAAACAATAATCACAGCAACATGAGAAAGAATCCTAAAACCTTAGCCCAAGGAACAAAACAAAATTAAGTTACTTACAAATAACTTAGAAAACCTATAATATCCACAGAGTCCTATTCCCTAAGCACCTCCACCAGTTGAGCTGTTATTACCCAGAGATTATAGAAACCCTAATATTTCCAGGTATCAAACTCCAGTTCAGAAGCTGGGATTGCAGCTCAGTGGTAGAGCGCTTACCAAGCATGTGTGAGGCACTGGGTTCGATCCTCAGCACCACATAAAAATAAAATTACTGTGTCCATCTACAACTAAAAAAAAAAATATTTCAAGTATAAAAAATAGAAACAGAACTCTCACAGGGGCAAATGGGAGCCCAAAATGTTTTAATCTCTGAGACAATGGTGGTAATGAGCACTTTCTGTGGCCTGACTAGTGGTGAGTCAAGAAGGGGCTTTTTGTGAGGAGGAGGAAGCAGTTTGAGCAGGGACTTTTGTACAAAGGGCAATGGTATCTCAGGAGAAAAAGAAGTGGGGAACAGCCAAAGGAGACACAATCAGGTCCAGTGGCGGCCTAAGTCCTCTCTCCTCATTTACCCTAAAATGCCACTCAGAAAGAGAGTTGGAATAAGAGGACCCTGGGTCCAGGGAAGAGATGGCTGCTCTCTTTAGGTGGAAGTGAGTTCCAAGGCTACAGGGCAGCAGTGAGCATACACGGGGGTGAGTAGGCACAGGAAGGGTAGGCTGAAGCCTGGATATCTATGTTCTCTGCCAGGAGACAATAGAGACAGCATTCAGAACACAGGCAGGTTCAAGGACAACCCCAGGGCCAGACTCCATTAGCTTTACTGCCTCTAGTGTGCTTTTTTCATCAAAAAGGAAACTTTAGGCCAGTAGAAAAGGGACCAAATGGAAATGGGGAGACAAGTTCTCTATGAGTCAGGTGAGCCTCAATGTCTACTCTCACCAATCCTAAAGGCCCTGTCTATAGAGTGGTCAGAGGAATGGGTTGGCCCAGCAACTCCCCAGCCTTGCAGAAACTCTGCTGGAACCACCCAGCTCCACTTACCCTAGTGGGCACTTACTCTAGGCTTGCAGGAGATGCCTTAATTTAAACGCCAGCGACAGAGACAGCAGAGCAGGTGGCAAGCTAGCACCTGGGGGGAATGCCTAGCATCCCTAGGTTCCCAGAAACCTATAGAGCCCTGGGTCACCTGGCCCCTTCTGGTGGTGGTAGAGAGCTAACGGTAGTATCACAGACTCTTCATATTCCACAGATTTCAGAATTAAAAAGAACATAGCTGTGCTGAATGGTTCCGAACACTGTGGGAAGCAAATTACCTCTAACAAACTCAGTCACACATTCTAATTTTTACAGCAATTCATAGGCTCCAGGTTATGATCTTGTCTAGATGTCAGCAAATTACAGCCCAAGGACCAAATGTGAGTCCCTCCCACCTGTTTTTATAAATAAAGCTTTACTGAAACATAGCCATGCCCATTTATACTATGGCTTGTGGTCACTTTCAATTGACAAGAGTAGAATTGCTTACTTATGATGAGACCATGTGGCCTGCAGAAGTGGTCCATTATAAGAAGTCCTGGTGCTAGATCTAATCTGTCCCTGATCTGGCTCAAATGAAAAACTCGGGCCTGGATGGGTTAAGGATGTGAGTAGTAACAGGGCCAAGACTTAAACCCAAACCCCAGGAACTTTTCCCAGTGTTGTTTAGCACTAGCTGGACCTGAACAAGTGGGGGATGTAGCCCAGTAGTAGAGCACTTGCCTAGTATGCGTGGAGCCCTGGGTTCAACTCCCAGTACCAGGGGTGGGGTGGCTTGGATTTGAATGAATCCAGTGAATGAAATCCAATTTTATGGCAGTTCCTTTGTTTTATTTCGGGAACACAAATACTCTATGAAATACTAAAGATAGCCTTTTCTATACAAAAACTATTTTTATCAGGTTTAATAACCATTAAATGAGCCTAATTTTGTGGGGCTATTCTTTGGTAAATGCATTTCAAGGTAGCTAAACCTGTGTAGACAAAAAGGCCTCCTACCCCTAGCCTAAGAAAGTAACATTTCATACAGCTGGAGAGAGTCAGTTTTATAAGCCCCTAGGGCGGGATACATGATGCAAATTCAGGTAGAAGTTAACTTCCTGGTGAACAGCCCTTTGTTCGGGTCTTCATTCTCACCAAATACACACATGCCCATGGGCCTGCCCAATAGCACTATAGCAGGGGACCAGCGTAGGCATTACTGAATTACCTCCAAAGGAATTGCAAAAAAAAAAAAAAAAAATGAACCTCTTCTCTTTCCCCAAAGTAGCTCAGACCCAGGGGACAGAATCTGTGCACAGGTTGCCTCAGGTTCTATGGATATCAAAATGTTTCTGGGCTAGCCACAAAAGATAAAGAAAACAGTTTTTTTTCCAAGGTATTGCAGCCTCCAATCAGAAGAGGCAGCCAGCACAGACAAACCTCTCACATCATTTCAATTCAAATTTCCACTAAGAAATAGGTTGGGTACAATCCTCTCCTCTACCAGAAGGTGGCGACCTGGCTTGGCAGCCTCACCTTCCAGGGTGACCCAGAGCTATGCCTCTATGACCAAGCCTGGTGGGAACCAGTACTCCAACCCTGTCAATCATTTCCCTGCCACTGGGCTCTAGCAAGAACTGGACATTTGTTAGGGCAATAATTCTACATTCATTACTCCTTTTCAAACTTTACATCTCCATCCATCAATGATGTGGGAAAATATATACATTTTCTTAAAGTTATTCCCTTTCCTACTCCTCTGTTGTTAGAACTGTACTGGACCACTGAAAGTTAGTAAGAGCGCTCAAAAACACCAAGAGCTTTGAGAAGTTAAACCTATTTGGCAAAAATGTGTGGCTCAGTAACTGGGCACAGTGGCGCACAGCGTAATCCTGCAAATTGGGAGGCCAAGTCAGGAGGATCACAAGTTTCAGGCCAGCAGCAGCAGCTTAGTAAGGCTCTAAGCAATTTAGTGAGACCTCATCTCAAAATTAAAAAGGGTCGAGGATATAAAATTAAAAAGGGTATGTTAGTGATAACACTCCCCTGGATTCAATCCCCAGTACTAAAGGGCGGGGGGACTGTATGGACCAGGATCTGTACTCTGCAAACCTAACAGTTAAGAGCCTGGGCTCAGGAGTAACATAGTGAAGCTCAAATCCCACCCACCTCACTTACTTGTAGGGTATTAGCTAGGTTGCTTCACTGTTTCAGTGCTGTGAGTTTCATCATCTACAACTCTAGTTAGTTACAATAATTCAAATACAGTGGTACAGTGGTTATCACAGTGCCTGGCTTTGTGTTCCTTGAATCTCCTTCCCCAGGCCACTCCATCACCAACACCCCAATCCAACATGCATTTTCTATGATGCACCAATGTGCTACCCCCAGCACTGCCAGACAGACACTTAACAGCTGGGTACCCTCATACCTGAAGGGCTTGCTGTCAGGGTCAGTGTCCTTAAATCCCATCTCCTCAAGCTTACAGCGCCGGTACAACTCATAATGGCGGGTGTGTGTCTGTTCTCTCAAGTCTTCCATGTTCACGCGAATCAGCATCTCCCGCAGCTTCACAAAATCACAATGGTTTTCATTCTCAACTGCAAATGATGGGGAAAAGTAGGACAAAGGGCTATTAGCAACATCACAGAAAATCTTAGATGCTTCCAAGATGTTGCTACCATCACTCTGAACTCTCTGAAATCTCAAAACCAACTAAAGGTGTTTTACAGCCATCAGAAAGGATTTCAGATAGCACTGAACATAACACTAATGGTGGTAAGGCTAACTGCCGGGTGCCTATTCTGTGCAAAAACTCAGAGAGGAGCTTTACAGATTTTGACTTTATCCTTCACAATCATTCGACCAGTAAACTTTGTGATTTCTGCTTTGCAGATAAAGAAGCCTGGCTTTGATAAGCAAGCTGACCTCCCAAAAAGAGGTAGCAGAGTCTAGACTCAAACACCATATCATCTGGTCCAAAGCCAGGCCTGTTTCTATCATTCCATGCCATCAGGAACTGTACCAGGCAGTTTTTAAATATCATCATTATTCCCAATTACCAAATATTTATTGAAATAACACTTAATTGGAAGACAACTTTCCCAGAGATGACTGAGCAAGTCATCCTCTTGTTTGCATGAAATTGTTTTTTTTGCACTTTCTGATACTTTGCTGATGCAACTGGTTCAGGCTCCTGGGGAAATTTTTATTTTCTAGGAATTTATGCTGAATTTCCTACACAACCAGTGAAAGCTAGTAAGAGAAGTCACCTCATTGGCACTAGGGCTTGGCAGCTGCTTTTCTCTACTGTCTGTCTACCTGCATGGGTCTTTCTCACCTTGGATAACAGCCAAGAGTGACACCACACCACTTACTCCCACCTGCCCCTGTTTTACACTTCCCAACACAGGGAGGGAAGAATTGTGGTCATTCACCCCAGGCACTGACTTTAGAGTCCCCTTCCCGTGATGGACATACCCTGTACCACGCCCCAGGGGTACTGCCTGGCCTTTGCCATCTTGTTGCCAATCTTCACTTCTTCGGTGCTGCCAACCACTGCGAATGGGAGGTGGACCTGCCAAGCAACAGAAGAGGAGTGTGGTTATCTTCCACAGCTCCAACAGAGTCTGTTTCTCCACCCACCTCTGCAAGCTCCTCCTTCTGCAGAATCTCTATTTCATGGCAAGACACAAGGTGGGCCAGGAGAACTCATAGAAGATTCTCTAGCTCATGTATCCTACACCCTATAGCCAAATACTTGTTAGGAGCTAGATTGCAGGGAAAACTGCAGAAGCAGTAGCAACTATACAGTAAGCTCTAGATTTGCCCCATCCAACACAGCCGTCACTCACGACCTGTGACCACAGAGCAGGTGAAGTATAGTTTGTGGAACCCAAAACCTCACTTTTTAATTTTATTTGCTTTTAATTAATATACATGTAAATTCCAAATGAAAGCAGTATAGAATGTTTTCCTGTTCAACATAACTTTGCTGTTTGTAAGGACAGCATTTTACTACGCTTCAAAAAAAAAAAAAAGACCAGTTTTGGCAAGGTAAGTACAAATTTAAAGGGAAAGGGCTTTTTGCTTGTTTGTTCATTTGTCTGGGAGCGGGGATTGATACTTATTTCACATAGAAAAACTTTAAAGTATGTTAGGAATAATCTAAGCATGTGAATCTGCTTTTTTAACTATAAATTTTCTTTCTTTTTTTTTTTTAACACTAGTTATTGAACCCAGAAGTGCTTTATCTCCGAGCTACATCCTAGTACTTTTTATTTTTTTTATTTTGAGACAGGGTCTCACTAAGTTGCCCCAGGCTAGCATTGAACATGTGATCCTCCTGCCTCAGCCTCCTGAATTGCTTGGATTACAAGCATGTACCACCAGGCCCATCTTAACTATAAATTTAAAGAATTATAAATACAGATTAAGCATTGTTAATAAAAATTGGAAATACAAATTGAGATGTACTAACATTATAAAACTTCAAAGACTTGCTATTAAAGGATCGTGTTAATAACTTTTTAATTCATTACATAAAGAAACAATAATATTCTGGATATACTGGATTAGGATTAAGTAAATTCTTAAAATTAATTTCATGCTTCATTTTTTAATGTAACTACTAGAAAAATTTAAATTACTTGTGTAGCTCACATTGTATTTCTACTAAACAGAACTATTTAGATAGCTGATCACTGCACAAATTTCAAGTCAGAAATACTCGTTAGCCCGAAATACTGAATCAAGCCTTCCACTCAGATTTATCTCAAGCATAGGTGGTGTCCAAGACAACCGACTCTTTTCTAATGGTTTATTTGGTAGTTATGGCTACACTCTGGGGGTAGAGAGAAAACTAATTCTGTTTTTCTATTAGCATACAAGAATAAAGAGATTTGATAGAGTTGCTCTGAGAATTACAACCCAATGTCCTTCTCCTACAAATCCATTGAGAAGGAGAATGTTTTCAAGTCAAATCCTTTTCCACGGAGAGCTTGGCAGAATCCTCACCTCAAGTTTCTCAAGTGGGACTTTGTGGAAGATGCAAGATTATTTAAATTTCCTAGTTAATCTCACCACTCTGAAGGGAGGAAGGAAAGTACATTTTCCTTCTCAAACTCAAAGTCTGAAACTGAACCATGGTCCCTGAAGCTGAGGAACTCAAAGGCCTTTCCACCTAACATTCTGGTCCAATGACCAAGGAACATTTCCATTCAATGCATCAAAAGCAACCACCAGGGGAATCTGTGTTACTCAGCTACATACACATCATATGGAATCATATCTGAAAGAACTGTTTGCATGAAAAGCCTAAAAGAAAAATTTTTGATAAACAGCAAGATTAGTTTGCAATGTCAAAGATCTTCAGTCTTACTAATTAGACAAAGAGAGAAAGAGAGTAAAAGTTTGTGGATATTTTCTTTCTAGGAAGTTCAATGCAAACTTAATTTTATAACCATGAAACATTATTTAAAAGGATTGAGGTGGGGGGATGGAGAGGTGGCTCAGTATTAAGAGTACTTGTCTAACTTCTCAGAAAAAGATATACAATTGATCAACAAATGTATGAAAAAAATGTTCAACATCTCTAGCAATTAGAGAAATGCAAATCAAAACTACTCTAAAGTTTCATCCCACTCCAGTCAAAATGGCAGATATCAAGAATACAAGTAATAATAAGTGTTGGCAAGGATGTGGGGGAAAAGGCACACACATATATTGCTGGTGGGACTGCAAATTGGTGCAACCAATCTGGAAAGCAGTATGGAGATTCCTTAGAAAACTTGGAATGGAATCACTATTTGACCCCGCTATCCTACTCCTTGGTCTATACTCAAAGGACTTAAAAACAAGCATACTAAAATGATGCAGCCACATCAATGTTTACAGTATAATTCACAATAGCTAAACTGTGAAACCAACCTAGATGCCCTTCAAAAGATGAATGGATAAACAAAATGCGATATGTCGCACGCACACACACGCACGCACGCGCGCACACACACACACACACACACACACACAATGGAATATTACTCAGCATTAAAAGAGAATAAAATTATGTCGTTTGCAGGTAAATGGATGGAGTTGGAGAATATCATGCTAAGCGAAGTAAGCCAATCCCCCAAACCAAAGGCCAAATGTTTTCTCTGATAAGTGAATGCTGATCCATAATGGGAAGAGGGGCATGGGATGAATGGGCATAGGGGACAGAGGGGAGGGGAGGGGGCACAGGGGGTAGGAAAGATAGAGGAATGAGACGAACTTCATTACTTTAAGTGTATGTATGATTGCACTAATGGTGTGATCTACTTCATCTACAACCACAGAAATGAAAATTGTGCTCCATTTGTGTACAGTGAATCGAAGTGCATTCTGCTGTCATGTATAACTGATTAGAGCAAATTAAAAAAAAAGGCTTGGTGGCATGAATGAGAACCTGGGTTCAATTACCATTAAGGCTTTAAAAAAAATGATGGAGAGGGATATAAAGTAGATGATTTCATTCATGCTTACTGAACCCTACACAAAGATCCCATATTGCAGTTCTATAGAAGAATGCACACATGGCATCTCCGCCTGAGCTGAGATTTGTCTTGGAAATCATTAACCATTAGAGTAGGAAGGAAATCTGAGATCACCCTGTTTAACTCTCCCACTTGATAGGTGGGGAAACTAAGGCCCAGGCTGGTTAAAAGACTTGCAGTGGCAGATCTGGACTCCAAATGGAGTCTCAGGTCCCCAATGCAGGTTTAGCCATTCTGCAATGCTGCTACTAAGAAAATCTTCCAGGAGAGTCGTTTGTACCCATTTTATTTGAGGTCTTACACTCATCGTTGCATTAATCTCTGCCACCGTTTCTTCATCTGTAGGGAACTGGTATATCTGGACGCCATTGCTGACTAATTCACTCATGATCTTACTTTTAAATTTGTGCAATTCATTCTTGGCAATCGTGTCTGCTTTTGCAATTATTGGAATAATGTTCACCTGTAAAACAAACATGTCCATTTTTACACAACTTCAACATAAGAGAAATAGACATGGGTGTAAAACATAGTAAATAAATAAATATTGTAAAACCTCACTGTAAAAAAACATATATGACACTGAAAATTGGACTATTTACCTAGATGCAAAATTAAGAAGACCTGGGATAATCTTTTAGTTCCATCTCAGAACACTTAGACTTCCTTCCATCCTACACAGAAAATCATACTTGTAATTTCCTCTCCTGTGCTACCTCATCCTTTTTTTTTTTTTTTTTTTTTTAACAGAGGGAGAGGAAATGTTATTACTCCATGACAAACAGTAGTAACAAAGGAGCTATTCTTTGAATAACCAACCACTCCTTCTGGACCCCTCCCACTTTCTTTAGGTGCTTGACTTCTGCATGCTCTGACAGTGTGATCACAAAGTTTTTGTTAGAGCAGCAGAATGTCAGTCCCATGCAGGCTAAAATCCTTTCTTTGTTCTGATACTTTGAAAATTGCTAGGAGAGGGGAACCTAAGTATTAAAGCAAAAATATTTTTACTTACTTTAAAATTTTTCAAACTCACACTAGCTAATTCTTTTGAAAATCAGCTTCTATCAAATTTCTCCTTCATGCCAGAAGTAGAACCAGTGCCAAAAACATGGCTCAATTTCTGAGTCTCCTCAGTTATGAATAACAGGGGAGAACTTGGAGTTTGACATTAATGGCAGACAGCCCAGAATGAGGGCCAAGGACACCCTAGAGTATAAGCTTTAAACCCAAGGTGGGCCATTTTTTTCCTACCATCCCCCAGCCCTGTCCACAGGACACATTTTTTAAATCCACATTTTGAGATTAACTTTCTTCTTCCTATCTGGAGATTTCAATAAGATGCTACTGACATCTGATATTTAGAGCTCTGCTCTTCACCCAGCCCAAGAACACTGAACAAGAGGTTTTGGGTCACATCTGCACTTTTGCTTCTCCTTTTATCTCCCACAGGCCAAATCAAAAGACGTGCTGGTAGAAAGTCCTTTTCTTCAACCTATTCTACAACACACTCCTAAGTCCCTAGCACTTTGGATTCCTCCAAGCGAAGTATAGACTGGAAATCATCACTGATGGCAGGGGATGTGTCTGGATCACAACCAGGGAACCAAAACCTTTCCTCCTGTGTTCACTGGCTATCTTGCATCCACACTTAGTACTCAATTAATACCAAACTGGACAAGATGACAGAGGTTCGTGTTTCCTTGACCAAACTGATCAAGTAGATAGAGACACCAAGCAATTTAGTTTTAAAATCTCTTTTCTCTCATTGGCAGGAGTTTGAGAATCTTTTCTGAAATGATCATGTTTTCTTAATTCTTCCCTTCACTTGTATAAACAAAACGTGGATAATATCATTTTCAGATGCTACACAGCTCTCCAACTCTATAACAATTCAATCCTTGAAAGTTTAACTTGCACTGAGATTGAGGTGTTTGGTTGCCTTGTGCTGGATGAGCTTGTTTTGTGTGCCACGCCCCCTTTTCATATGAAAATCACCTCTGCTAAACACAATTTCATTTTGTGGGCTATTAACCTGGCTTGGTCTACATGCATGGCCCTCAGGTAAGAGGCCACCTCACTCTGCTTCCTTCGGACTGTGGAGAGTCGGGGCTCCTGATGATGGGGGACCTGCCTCACTTTCAAAGATCTGACAGCAGAGAGAGCAGCCCGGCCTGTGCAGAGTCCCATCCGGGTAACGGCACAGCTCCCAGGCACTCAGCTCAAGTGCAGCACACCCAATGGGCTGAAGAAGGATTTCTATTTATTCTCCCAAAAGTGCTCTCACTGCAGTAATCCCTTCAGGCCATTGGAATATTTTTCTGTAAAACACTGTGTCTGTGTGTGCTGGAAACCCAAGGAGCCTGGCTCGGCTTTAGCCTCTCCAGCCAAGCCCTTTGTGGGCTGTTCCAGAAGAAGCCTTGGGGACAGGCTGATCTCTAGTTTGGCCTCTAACTATTTTATCCCCCTAGAGAATAAGCATCTTTTAAAGAGTGTTGTTTGGACCAAAAAAAAAAAAAAAAAAAAAAATCACACCAATCAAGCCCTCTAAGGTCCTTATCACCTGATAAGAATTTCCATCTGAGGGCTGGGGTGGTGGCTCAGTGGTAAAGCGCTTGCCTAGCATATGTGAGGCACTGGGTTTGGTTCTCAGCACCACATATAAATACATAAAATAAAGGTCCACTGACAACTAAAAAATATTAAAAAAAAAAAAAAAAGAATTTCCATCAAATGCAAGGAAGTATTTTTCTAGGAGAAAATACCATGACTTAGATTTACGGTTGTTCTGGTTGCCATTTGCTTTGTCTTTGTTTCAAAATGTGTTCTCTTCTATATATTTCAAAACAGAAAATCAAATTAATTGTAAAGCAGGCCACCAAATTTTATCAAATTTAACAGTCACCTCCTTTGAGTGCTCTGAAAAAGAGGATACAAAGGCATCAAGCTCAGGGGACAAGCTGAATGGAGACTCCACTTCTCCTGAACACCCGTGTTCAAAAATCTAAAAAGCCAGGCTGGCCTCAATTAGGCAAAAAGTTGACATTTATTTCATTTTAAACTTTGAATTAAAGTTTTTAAAAAATCATTTAACCTTAAAGAAATGGCCATTTTAGAAGTTAATTTAACCTTTAAAAATCTTTTAAAAAGAGATTTAGAGAAAGGTTTTAAAGAAAATAAATGAATCTTGAATTTATACTTCAATCTCCTACTTAAGAACTAAATGTATTTTCTAACAAGCTACGTTTTGTTGTTGTTGTTGTTGTTTTGTGGGCTATTCACCTGGAGATTAAACCCAGGGCTTCGTGCATGTGAGGTATGCACTCTACCAATGAGCTCTATCCCTAACCCACAAGCCACGTTTTGTGAGATTTGTTTTGTTTTGGCCTAACATCCAGAAGAGGATTTTAAGCATTTCTTACACTGCCAAATCCTGTGGTTCTGTAATCCAGAAAACAAAACAAAACAAAAAAAACAAATTATAATGAAAGCAGAGAATAAATTGAGGCCTTAGAATAAAGGTATTCTAAAAGGAGAATTGATATAATCAGAGTGACAGACAGTACCTTACTGTCCAGCTTCTTCATGGTGACCAGGTCCAGAGACTTCAGTGAATGTCCCGTGGGGGCGATAAAGTAGAGGCAGGCGTGAATCCTCGTGTCGTGGTAGTTGAAGAGAGAACGTTTAATCTTCAGTTCCTCTTGCAAGTAGGCCTCAAATTGGGCGTCGATGTATTCCACTATTGGCTTATAGCTACAAAACAGAATATTTTGAAAATACTTTTAAACCAGCATGTTTCCAGTCTCAAACCTCTTTCACAGAAACATCATCAGTGGCTTTCTCCTAAACGCTGGAGCCCAAGTTCCTTGCCTTGGTATCCAAGGTCTTCTGTCACCTGGCCCCTGAAGAACTCTCCAGGATCATCCATCTCTCCCACTCCCTCCCTGGCAATACACAGCGATGACCTGTAGTGGCCCTTGTACAGAACATCTTCATTTGCCTCTGGCCCTCTGTCATGCTGGCCCCTGTAGCTCTAACAGTCTTCTTTATAATATTCTCTGGGCTAACACTCATTCTTTAAAACAGAGACTATACGTACATGGAACATGCTACCTGCTCCCCGCCCTTTGCCCCCGCAGGTGTGGAAGATATTAATAAGAGGTTTTAGCATTCTTTCCTGCTGGGCCAAAACTAGCCTTGAAATCTATCTTAATAAAGTGTTTCTGAAAGACTTTAACAAGTGATTAGCCCTGGTGCACAAAATGAAACTGGTTTATGACTTTGGAATATGGCATCACCACCCATGGGGGCCTTTCCTCCAGCCATTCCTCCAGAGACAAGGTGAGGTACCTGTCTGTGCTCCCTTAAACCCTATATACACTCCCCAACTCCATCTAGAAATTGAAGAGCTTATATTACCAAGATCTTCAAGATTCTAACTCAAAAATTTCATGATTTATTGGTAAACTTTGTAACTCTCTCTTCTCTTCACCAAAACATAGTTCAACTCTGTTTTGGATAATTGTGTATGACTCTATTAACTGACCATAAACACACTGTTGAAAGCATTTTGGGTCTACATCATCAATAAATCCCATCTTCTCCAGGGAGTAAGTCTTATGTTAGGTCACCGTGGGAAACCCATGAACTCTTTCAGTCTCCAAAGGGGAGCAGCTCAAAAGTTCATTTTAGCAGCAGAGACAGATCTATTAGGAAGACAAAGGGTTAATCCACCCCAAACTTAGTGCCTTTCTGGGGAATGATTTAAATTGTAAGAAAAAATAAAACCTTTCAACACACAGATCCCAGATCCATAAATTAAACTGAAACCTTGAATAGGCACTACAAATATTTCATAATAAACATGACAGCAGACATTCTAAAGGAAAAAAACAAAATCCCCTGAGGTAAATAATAATGCATTTATGATCAAAACTAAAAGCAGTCAATAAATACCTTGTGGTGGTATTTTTCTTTGGTGATTTTATCATAATATACTGGTTCAATTTAAGCACTTAGAGTCTTTAGATATTTAAAAAAAAAAAAAGGTAAAATATGTAACTGTAACTTAAAAGCCCTGAGTCATAAAAAGTGAAATTCTAATAGAAAGAAGTGAGTAATTAGATTATTCTCTATTTTTCAATTTTAAAATGCAGGCTCGTACTACATAGCAATAATCATAATTATTATTATGGGATAGTTATATAGGATGGTGGCTAGAAAGATGGATTCAAGTCAGACTGCCTAAGCCCAAAATCTGTCTTCATAGTCCCTAGCTGTGTGGCTATTAGCAGGCCACTAAACCTCCCCTTGCCTCACTCTCCTCAGAGATAAATCAGGGACAAAACAGTACTTTTACCAGAGAGCTATTCTGAAAAATAAATGAGCTAATATAAAGGACCAGCACATAAAAGTACAATAAATTAAAATGTCCTGAATTAAAACAAAAACCCAAACCAGGAAATTTGTACCCACCCAGTTCCCTGGTGACTGTTCTGCTACTGAGCTCATACCTCTGGGGAAGTGGACCAGGCCATTCAAAGGCGGTCCACCCATGTCTGCAGGCTGGTGCTTTCCTTTCCTGACACTGGAGCAGTGTTTAGAGATAGATGAGGGTTCTCCCTAGCACCCTCTTAGCCCAAAGGGAGGAAAAAAAAGGCTCACCACATTTATTCTTCTTGCCTCCCTAGTTTCTGAATTTAAACTGTCCTTGTCTCCTCTCAATACTAGTCTAAGTGCATTTCCGCTTTCTTACTTCTGGTTTTGATTTTGATCCTCAAAAGACCCTGGAAGGCATAATAACACTGAATTTGTTTTATTTTTGTCTTTTTTTTTTTTTGCGGAGGGGGTGCTTAAAAAAAAACAGTCCCCTTTATTTGGTGTATCTTTGTTTATTGTTATAAAATGATTTTATCTTCCTCAGTGAAGGATGCTTTCTGAGCTGGATTCAAGACATCTTTTGATCTCTCACATCTTAGGTTTCCTTTGCCTGCCCCCATTAACCACTCCTGCTAGTCTTTCAATCTCCCTCCCTCCACTCTCTGTGATCTTCCTGAAAAATCATGCTTTTTCCTGTGTCTCACTTTGCATTTATCTAATGACAAGTCACAAATGTCTACCTCAGTGAGCTTCAGACCACTTACCCAATTGTTTATCAGATACTTCCAACAGCTCTTCAAACCAAACTGTTCAATCCTGCACCCCCAACCCTCAAGGTGGTGAATGACAAGAGCATCCACACCACTGTACCATCAGAGACCTGGGATTCAACCTGGAGACCTCTCTTATCTCACGTGCCCAGTCAAGCATGAAATCCCTTCTGTTTTACCTTCTGTATCATAAACAAATAACCACTATTTACCAAAACCACTATTCCCTATGTCAACTATTTAATTATGTTTACAAAAGTTTCCTCTTGACAAGAAATAAGCCTGCCAAGTGATTTGTACTCCTTGTCATAATCCAAATTTTCTGCCCCCTCCTTCAACCACTTCCTTTCTTTTTTCTATCTGCATTCATGGTCAGAAAGACCAAGAAGCTTAATCCCAGCTGGCCTTTTGCTATCTTCCATTCACACAGAAAGGACACCTACTTATATTCTGTGTGGCCAATTCAAACTTCTTGATTCTAACCATACCCAGCTGAGGAGATGGAGGAGATCAAATCAAACTAGTGTGCATTTTTACAAATCCCCTTTTACAACATGAGTGTAGTCCTTGTAACCCACTACTCATTTTCTTCATATGCTTCCAGACATTAAGGGGAAAAAAAAGCAATAAAATCACAAAGGGTGACCCTAAAAGTAATGGAAGAAGTTATTTAATATACTTTTCTATCCATCCAACCTACCCACTGATCATTTTAACACAATGGCAAACTTACCAAGTTTCTCTCTTATCTTGCTGTTAGCCCAAAACAACTTTTCTTACCCCTACACTACCTCTACCAGAAAACATTAAAAACTTAGAATTTAACAGCTAAACAGCCCATATCACTTCTATTTTATAATTCTAATAAACATCTGGTGAACGTGAGGGTTCTCTCTCAATGGGTTTTGGTTATTCAGGCTTTTCAGGACTATTATCACAATTTGTGATACCCTATGGAAAGCCACCTCCCATCTCTCAAATGTGGGACAAACTAACTATTCTATTTCCAGTTGGACAGCAAAATATAGTTTCCTTTCGTCTCCAGACCCCTTCCTTTTTCACCGAAGAATACAGACAGTCAAAGCAAGGAAACCCTTAAACAACAAGGAGTTAAACATAACAGGAAACCTTACCAGATCTCTCTTCCTGCCTCCTTCTAGCTAGCCTGGTCAAAGGAGATAATGATGCAGGAATGCTACATGTCCCAAGCCTATGTAAACAAACTGGGACATTCTTAAAGTCTTGCATCTATGGCAAAAAAAAAAAGCTTGCCTAGTCCCCGAAAGTAGGTAAAAATAATCATGGGTTACAGAAGGCACACATCCTTTCCCATGTGGTTACATACAGATGCAAAAATGCATATTCTACTTCCAATTTTTTGATGAAAGCAGAGCTTGTCCGAATAACTATTTTTAAACAAGTGATTTGGGTTTACATCAACAGTGTCAACAATGCCTTCTGAGGCACAAGGGAATGGGGAATTTCAAATGCCATTCAAAGAAGTTATGCAATAGCTGTCAAGAAATTTCAGAGGGAAAAAAAATATTTGGTATCTAGGTTAGGTTAATATCACACTTCCTCTCTTCTAAATCTCCTTGGTAACTATTATTTGACCCAAATGAGTCAGATCAGTTCTTAAAGAGGACTCCAGCTGCAAATATGAGGCTCCACGTTGCACTAACTTCAACTATTTGCTGTTCAGGACTGGTGAGTGATAACCACCAGCCAGAGGGGAGGTCCCCATTCGGGGGAGGCACTGAGGCAATGACTCTTAAGCTGAAAAAGCACATGGAATCTTGGTAGCAAGATGCTAGGTGGAGGAAGATTCTTACTCAAGTGGGAATCCTGAAAAAGTCCAATATAAAAGCATGATGTTCCCTAACCCCAGGGAGAATCTGTCCAGCCTGAGAGCTTAGGAACAGGCCTGGCTCTGGTGTGCTCTGTGACCATACAATGACCAGAAGCCCCAGGCACTCTCCCCAGCTCCCACAAAGCACTGTGTTCGTGTTCTCTCCCTCCCTCCCTCCCTCTCTCTCTCTCTCTCTCTCTCCCTCCCTCCCTCCCTCCCTCCCTCTTCCTTGATGCCAGGGTTTTCTCTTCATTTATTTTACTTGGCATTAAAACCAGCCTTTAGGCAGGAACCTCTTCTTCATGACTTGGCATTGAGGTCTCAAGTGAGGAGCAACTACTCAGCTGCAGAGTCAGAGCTTAGCTGTCCCTGCCCCAACACAATGTACAGACAGTCCATTCTGACCAGATGCAAAATAAAATCTTCCTATCTAACAATAGACACAGGACAAGGTCTATTGAAGAGCATTTCAAGTGCTCTATAGATAAAGAGCTCGGTGCTCCAAGAATGAATTAAATGTTTCTCTCTGATTATTGAGATGCTCTGCTCATACTTAAATCAGGAATTGTTGAAATATATCTAAACAATACACATTTTTACATAAAAATAATTCAAGTTCCTCTTTACAAAACACATGTATATTGTGTTTTGAGGAAACACAATTTTGAGGAAAAGTTAAAAAGACGAAAACTCTGATATTAATGAAGCCTTAAACAAATATACAACTTATTTCTACACACTGGTGTCTTTAAGGGGTAAGACATTCTCATAATGTCACTGCCCAAAAATGTCTCTGGAAGTCTCATTCTAGAAATATCTTTGGGCCGGATAGTTTCTTAAACCTCTTTTGAGAATGAATTTACATTTTCAAACAGTCAAGCTATCTGAAGTTGAGACTAAAGAACAGGACTGGTGTTGGGAAGGACAGTGAGCTAGATCTTGGAAGTAGAATTAACATGGGGGTTGTGTATTGGGAGGTTAAGAATTAACAGCTTCCCTTAAGCAAGCGCAAACAGCAGCTCACAGTGAAAATCCAAACTTATGTCCTTGTAAATGGGCTATATGTATTTTATAAAATAAAAACTCACTATATATTATTTTCTAATTATATCTTCAAGCTTATGTGAAGAACCATACCAGTTTTAATGACTGATACACAAGGCTTGACTGGCAGCTAGGAGCCTCAATCTATACACAAACTACTGAACCAAAATGCTTTAAAAATAATTTTCTTTCTTTCTTTCTTTCTTATTTATTTTTTAAAAAATATCTCTAGTTGTAGATGGACACAATACCTTTATTTTATTTATTTATATGTGGTGCTGAGGATCAAACCCAATGACTCACACATGCTAGGCAAGCACTCTACAACTGAGCTACAGCTTCAGCCCCTAAAATATTTTTATTTCTTAACCAGGCATAATAGCATATGCTTATAATCTCAGAGACTTGGGAGGATGAGGCAGAAGGTTCACAAGTTCAAAGTTAGCCTTAGCAACTTAGCATGGCCCTAAGAAACTTAGGGAGACCCTGTTCCCGAGTAAAAAAGGGTTGGGGATGTGATTCAGTGATTAAGCGCCCCTGGGTTTAATCCCTGGTACCAAAAATAAAAAGTATGTATGTGTTAAATATATATTTAATTTCTTAAGTAAGTTCAACAAGTGTTTTTTCCATAGATGCACAGAATTCTGTAGCATCAATTACTCAATTATCTCTGCTTAGGAGGGGAAATTTTATTCAATTGACTTGAATCCTCATTAGTCTTCACCAAAACCCCAACTGCTCTTCAGACTCCATTTGGCAATTCTGACTGCAAAGTTCTGCCTAACAGAGCGGCTTCCCTCTCCAGAAGAGCCTCAAGCCATACCACTACCATCAACATTAAGATCCTATTACCAATCAGAAATTCACTAATACATTTCAACAGATCATGCATAAAAGTGCTTTCTTCACTATGGAGTTTTAGGAGTAATATCACTTTTAGGGGTAATATCACAAAAGCCATCAAAGTACAGGATTATAACCTTAATATAACAATATTCCTCATCAAGGCCTAACCTTTCACAATGTCCTTCCTCAGGCCTCCATGTGAGAAGAGGACTGTATGAAGTGTCAGAGTGGCAAACACCTAGGGTAATCCCTCAAAGTTAGATACATTCCTAAGGTCCATGGCTTGTCACCAGTCAAAAACCCAACCACGATACAGTCTCCTAAATCCTGGGCTGTGGTTTCTTATGCAAAATCACAATGACTCTCAGTTTTCATCCAAATCAGTAAAAATTTGCAGATTAAGTCAAATATCTCATTCTGCCTCAGGGACTAGAAGAGCATAGCAGATATTACTTTTTAATATTTTCTTATTTTGCATATCTAAAAAAACCCTGAAAACCTCATTTTCTAGACTCTCTTGCAGCTAGTATTCTGGATGTGGTTTCGTCTCTGCCAAATGGATGCAGCCACCCAAGATCTGGAAGCAGGAAGTGAGCAACACAGCTGGAGGCTTCACTAGGGGAGAAGCAGGGGTGAAGGCCCTTGGTTATCTGGGACAGATGTAGTAGAGGTTCTAGGACCCTCTCCCCAGTGCCATGGGTCCCAGCTAGTTTAAGGTGATTGATGGCAGGCTTTCTGCAAACACTCTCTATGCAGTGCCTGGGATATAGATTGCTTTTCCACATGAAGAAATCCCAAAACCTGGCAAACACTTTTCTGGAAAAATGGCATAAGCCACCTTACTCCTCTAACAGGCTTCTCTTTTTGTTTAGACCACCTAGAATCAATTTGTTGTCTGGTTCTGACCTCAAGGAAGAATATTCTCAGAAAATTTCTGTGAGGACAAGAATGTCCTATCTTTCAGGTGACAGAGGATGAAGCCCCACAACTAGAGAACACCAAAAATAATTCACCTTTGAAGTTACCTGGAATGGAATCTACTATCTTCCACATCAAGTTACATCCCCACAAAATCCCAAGACACACCTGTCATCTTTATTTATCTGGTCTCCAAATCCCACGGTGTCAACAATGGTTAGCTTCAGCCGTACATTGCTTTCCTGAAGCTCATAACTTCTGGCTTTTAACCGGACACCTGGTTCGTTGTGTGTAGCTGGGTCACTTTCAAATTTGGTGTTGAATAAAGTATCCATTAATGTGGATTTGCCAATGCCTGTCTCACCTATAACCACAAAGAAAAACATCAGAGAATACGTCTATCAGTTCGATTCATCAGTATTTTTTTCTTAATCATGCTTGCAAAGTTAAAAAAAAAAAAAAAGAGTCATGTTACCAGAAATCCTGCTGTGAAGAGAGTTTTTTCTACGTATGTCCTGAGGAATGTCCTACCTAGAAATGCCTCACTGAATTTCAGAAACTATTCAGCAGAAAAGAGCTTGGACTTAAAGACGTTCTTCTTCTCAGGGTAGAAAAATAGTACCTGTGAGTTTGACTGTGGTCAGTTTGCGTATTATAAGGATACAAACTATATCTTTATCTTTCCTAAATGTTGGTATGCAAAACTGAATTACTTAAGGGGGAAAAACTATATTGTTGAATTTGTTACTAAACAATAAGAACAACAAAAATTCCATGTTGTAGAAAAGAATTATTTCAAAAGACTCTCCTGACCATAATAATTACTTTATGCCAAAAATCTATGTCAAGAGGTTCCTACTATTCCCCCATGAAATAGGTACCATGGTTTCCTTTCCTCCAGATGAAGCACTAAGGTTTAGATAAGTATCTTGCCTGAAGTTATATTGCAAAGCGTCAGAGCTAGGGTTCTAACCCAGGTATGTGCAGTTCAGACATTGACCTTCAATAAGCACAACATCCTGACTTTACTATTACACAGAAAACTGCCTGCCTGGTATTTTCCAAATATATTTCTTTACTTTTCTTTCTCTGTTCAGCTGGAGATAAGATGGCCAACATTTGTTAGTCTTCCCAGTTTCCTGGTCACCTTTAATGATAATGAAATTAAATTGTGCTAAGTAATAACATTATTAATTTACACTGACAATTCCAATTCATAAATGTTTATCAAGACCCTCATATGTACAAAGCAGGGTGGCAGACACCTGGAACAACTCTACCAATCCAATAGTGGGACCCAAATGTGGAGCCATGAAGTTCAGCTCAACTTTCAAAATGGGACCAAGCAATGGTCTCTCTAATTCTGCTGTTAAATCAAAGATAAGGTGGTTGAGCATATGATGGTGGAGACAGAGAGGTAGAAACTAAGAAACACTAACCAGAAAGATGCCTTTTTTGGTGTTTCTTTTTTTATTTTTATTTTTTCTTATCTAAAAAATGTCTCCAATTTCTAGGTCAATTTAAACATGCCAATGGTTAGGAGCCCTTTCAATAAATCTTTATGCTGATGACATTCCTAGAAACACTCCCTCATCTGAAGGATTGCAGTAATGACTTTGATGCTGACATCCCATGAGAAAAAGAAAAGCTTCAGAATCTGTAGCCTTAGGGCTACTCCCACAATAAGGACAAAACCTGTTAATTAGAAGTTCTGTATTATACTCGCTGCTTTCCAACATAATCCAAAATTAAAGTAAGATGGAGTCTTCCTAGATGCATGCTTTCTTTGATTAGAGGCCCTCTGTGGCTTGCCACTTACTATGATTGGTTTATATGATAAGAGTTGTTCAAGTGCATTTCCCTTACTCTTTAACCTTTCACACTATGTCCCTGATCTAAGATCACAGAATTTCCTCCTTAATCAGCTTCTGTTTAGCCAATATTTTTCCAGTGCCAAGATTTGTGCTAAGTTCTGGGAATACAACAATGAACAGGGCTAATGTTTTAGAATCTGGTCTAGAACACAGCTGAATAACAGACTCTAATTTATTGTTATGGGAATAACATTCCACATGTCTACCATGACCGCATTCTTCTCATGAGCAAGACCAGACTTTATACCCTGTGACCTTGTGAGTTGACCACAGATAAGTGGGCCAGGGCTCGGCTCCTGACCTGAAGACAATCACAAAAGCCTGACTGTTATGCATACTGCACCCATCCAATCAAAACGTCTCTATTTGAAGTGGAGACATACAATCTGCACACAGTGTAGAGGCATGAGAAAGGAAAGAGGTAGAGAGAGAAGGAAATAAGCAAAAGCCATGAGACAGCAAAGGCTTTTATTAAACAGAAGCCTCTCTGTAGATACACCACTAGCCGGGAATCTAGGAGGAGAACAGATCAATACAGTAGAATAAAGTATCAGAAACCCATTTATTAAATTAATACTTGAATACTTGCTATGTAACAAGCATAGGTGTGGGGATAAAGGTTTGAACAAAAACAAATAATGACACTGCCCGCAGTTCTGTAATATCCTAATGTCGTTCCAGATTGTTCTGAGGTCTGGCTATGTTCTGTCTTCCCTATTTCCCTGAATACTCTTACAAAAAACCTCATCAATACAAGTAATAAACCAGTCTCTGCTCCCTAATGTGATGGAGCTTAACAAGCTCATAATCACAATTCATGGCTTAACAAATCAACTTTAAGCAAAACAAAGTTACTGTGTAATGGATAAGAAATAAAACACGGTTCCCACTCTTATAACGAATCTGATAGGCAACTCAATACGAATAGTACTTGAATCAGTGTAAGCACACGTTGTGTGTGTAACACTCTCCAGGATAGCCAACTTCTTTACAGGATTTACCTATTTTCAGGTCATGGACATAGGACACCATCAGAGCACCCTTATAAAAATCTCTCCAAAATGTCAAAGGTTCTGTCAGTAGAAAGTGACCTACTTAACTTTCATCTGTTTCCCTAAGGACAGCAATAAAGACTTCAATTTACAAGGCAAGAATTCTAGGCTCCTTAGATAGGAATGAAATTACCATCTCCTTTACTAGGTTGAGAATTACTTAGCACACGTGAATCCACAGCACCATAACTTTTTTTTTTTAAGGCATGGTAATCTTAATGATCATTTACATTAAGGTGGAAATTATGAACAATTAGCATTCCAGGCCTTACTTAGAGCACAGGGTTAATCAATGGGTTGAAAAAACCACTGTTCCTCTAAATTTCAGAGTGTTTTGCTTTCCATTTCTATGCTCTGTGCTTTTGAGAGCCATAATTAGGCACAGCGATGCTAGCAGCGGTGTGATTCACCAAGGCAGTTCAGTAGGAAATGACAGTTCTGGAATAAAAGGAATTAGCGGAGTCTTCAATGCTTTGGCTTTTGAGACTCCTCTCTGAACTTTGAAGGAAGGGCCTTGTCTATACTTTTGAGGACCCACAAGAGCAACAAAAAAGTGTCTTTCTAATTGAGTAACTCAGAGCCTATGAGGTAGAGGTTCCAGTCCAAACCAAACAACCATAACAATATGTTCAGAAAATCAACGACTCACATAGACTTTGCAGAAGACTCCCTAGAGGAGTACCAGACACACCAGGCATTTATTAAAATTAACTGAAGATGAAAATGAGATCATGGTGATGATTTATTCTGAGATCTGCCACTTTGGTAGATTTTTTTGGTTTGTTGTTTATTTGTTGTCAATTCATCTGCCTGAACACTTGGTCACGGGAGTAATTAGAGAGTCACTCGTGAAGTGCTATCTGTGGTTTCTGTTTTTGCTGCCGCCCCAGTGCTGGCGAACATGCCGCCCACATCCCAGGGGAAAGCATCCCCCCTCTTCCACTCTACTCTCAGGCCTATCTCACCTATCAGCTCCAAGGTGGATATGAAAAAAACATCGGAAAGATTGTATTATTAATTTAATTAAAAGGTAACTGCAAATTGATCAAATAGTTGATGTACGATTTAGCATCCTCAGCTCTAACTGCCAAGCCTGGCTACTCAGGAAAGTAATCAGGCTGGCTAGTCTGCCTGCCTTCTGTACAGTCTAGATTTTATTCTTGGATGGAGCTGGGTTACCAGAGAGCTGTAAGCCTATAAGCTGTGTTGTTACTCCTCACACCTTCATCTTCAATGAAACCTGCTCTAGCACAACACCACCAGCCTGCACGGGGAACTTGAAGGAACAGCCTATGACATGTTACATCATCAATCAATTGCACTGATTTAGAGGATACCCTCCAATCTAAACAGCATATTTACCCCATCTCTTTTCTGAAAATCCATGAGAGAAATTTCCAAAGTATATCTTTGTTTGTTTGTTTGTTTTGTTGGTGCTGGGGATTGAACCCAGGGCCTCATACATGCTAGGCAAGTACTCTACCACTGAGCCACATTCCCAGCCCCTCCAGGTGTATTTTTCCAGAGAAATTATCTCTGTTTTTATATTGTAGACACTATAAATCTGTCATTTGTCAAACTATTAACTGCTATTTGGCATGTAATATGTGCTCAATAAATAAAGTATTTATTAAACTAAAGTGTAGCGTAGTAGGGAGTAGTTTAACATGTTGTAAGCAAAATAGGGAGTGGGGAACCATTAACTCAAGGGTATTTTGTTATCTGATTAGCATCAGAATTCTCTCCGTGCTATGACCACTAAGTTGAGAGACAAATGTATTCCCTCACAAATTAATTGCTATCAGGAAATTTGAGCTCTGACTCTATCTTTGGCTTCACCTTACTTTCTGGAGTCAATTTTATCTTCATTCATTTTACCTTATAAGCAATGCATAACTTTTCCTGGAAAAAGATGGAATCACAATTTTTAAGATTTGATTATTAAGCCTTACCGTTCGTGTTGACACTTTTGGCCTTAATTAAAACAACCTTAAACGTGTCTGTTTTCTATTCCTCTTCTCTCATCTCCTCAAAACAATTAAGCTTGAATTTAGAAAAACTAATCTAGTTTCTAAATGTACTACTAATTTTCTTTAACTCTTCTATTGAATTTGTTCCTCTTCAAAAGCAGAAATATCACAATATCTTATTCATCTTTCTGTGTTCACCAAGAACTGACACACAGCTGGATCAATGCAGATGAGGCTTATCAGAGCATTATCATTTTGGAAAATGAATGAGAAAGACACATACATTTAAAATGTTGAAAAGAGGCTGAATACTAGAATCTAATTTAGATTCTTTGGAGAAATACAGCCTGGATAATACATAAAGGCTTTATTTAAACTAAAGTGTAGTTTAGGGAGTAGTTTAACATGTTGTAAGCAAAATAGGGAGTGGGGGAACCATTAACTCCAGGGTATTTTGTTATCTGATTAGCATCAGAATTCTCTTCCTAGGTAAGTGAAAACTTTTCTCGCTCTATTGCATTTATTCCCAAGACTCAACAGAAAGGGGTTCTAACAGTGGAAACTTAATTCAGGATTTCTGAAACTAGAGTAAATTCATACCAGTTTCTGTCCTGGTTTTTTCCTCTGCTTTCTACCTATAAGCTCTTGTTACAAAATGAAATTATGACTCTACAGCCTTTTTGATAAAAAAAACTTCTTTAATAGAACTGTAACTTTTGTATCCTCAATCCCCTTCCATATTTATCACATGAAAGTAAATATCACATGGTTATAATGTATATAAAAAAAAAAAATAGTAGGAGAAAAAGTTGGAAAGAAATGACTATGGACAGCTTTAAGTTAAATATGACACCTAATCCTGTATGTGGCTGTCCAAATGTTTTGATTATCTAGAACATTTCTTTATAGATTCTAACTATAAAAATCATTGACTGACAATGAGAATCATTTCTTATGTAGGTATTTTTCTTTAAAATATTTGTGGTAAAGGGTTTTGAGGCATTCTATCCTGAGAATAAATTGATAATTTAATACTGACACCATATCCCCCAAAGACCTAATGGCAGCTTTAACCAAAGGGTTCTGTATTGATCTATTTTCTGTTACTATAATGAAATGCCTGAGGCTAGAGAACTTTATTAGAAAAGAGGTTTATTTAGTCCACAGTTCTGTAGGTTGCAGGGCCTGGTGCCAGCAACAACTCAACTATGGTGAGGACCTCAATGATGACAGCACAACAATGGTGGGAACATGTACATGACAGAAGAGATCATATGGCCAGACAGGAAACCAAAGAGGCTGGGGAACAGCCAGGCTTGTTCTTTTATAATAACCTTTTTGAAAGAACTGACTCAAAGGGCCCATGAGAACTATACTTTAATCCCAGAGCAGCTCCCCCAGTGACCTAAGGACCTCCTACTACCCCTCAACTCTCAAAGATCTCACAACCCTCAATATCATCATGCTAAGATCAAAGTCCCTAACACATCAACTCTTGAGGACTACTTTCAAACCAAATCCAAACTACAGCAGACTCCAAAGGGCTATGGAAATGAAATAGGAGAGTTAAATATACTGACATGGAAAGATATCCAGGACTTATCGTGGAATTGATAAAAGAATATAAACAGCATTATCTCATTTGTGTAAAAGCAAAACAAAACACACCTAGGTAATTGTGAGGGAGCTGTTTTTATCTGCTTAGTAGGTGTCTATCCATGCCCAATCTCCTTTCTCACAATGTCTTCTTTCTGTGGAGAGTCCCTTGCTTTGGAGTGGACTGACCCCACCTCCCAGTCAGCCTAAGTATGTGACCCAGTCCTGGTTAGTCAGAGAAATCCTGTGACATTCAGCAAGACCTGTCTAGAATGGCTTGTTCTTTTGCTTGGGGTTGCGAAGCTGGTAACTGCTGGAGGCCAGACTGTTGCTGGAGGAAAAGGCCCAAACGGGAAGCCCAGCAGAAGCAAGCATGATCACAAACCAGAAATAGAGCCCTGAGGACACACTCTGACCCTGGAGCCAGCTGTTCTTAATTCCAAGATACAACATATTACCCTTTTAGTGTATGTTGGGGACTAGGGGGAGTCTCAACTGCATTTAAATTGGATCTCTGTGATTCTCTATGGAAAATACAAGAAAGTTAGAGAGATGCCACACTGCTGGGGTTAGAGAAAGAGTAAAGTGTCCAAGAGCCAAGGACTGCAGGCAGCAGGTGTCCTGCCCTGGAGGGTTCCCTAAAAAGACACCGCCCCGCAGACCCATATAGACTTCCACCTACACAAGTGGAAGATAATACTGTGGTGGTGTTAACTGGCCACCAGAAATGATTTCTTACCACAGAAAGATGTGGAAAGCTCCTGGAGGATCCTACATGCTATCACTATGGAATGGAAATGGGAGTGGGAAGTGAAAGGGGGAAATTTTATAATTTTCAAACTTTAAGTATATATCAAATCATTAAGTTTGAAAAAAAACCTAATCTTAACCATATTTAAGGGTGGAAACATAACACAATCTAAGAATCCCAGATATTCTCACCCACCCAGGGAAGTCAGAATAGCAGGTGCTTACAAGTCTAACCGGGCAGCACTGGTGTGGCCTGTGAGGAATTCCAACCAGCATCAGAACTGTGCTGTTTAACACAAGAGGCTGGCCACTGCACCACTCACACCACACAGCTGGTTAGACCTGACCCTTCCACCTAGTCCAGTTCCACTGGCAGGATTTCCACTACTATGCAGGAGTCAGGACACAGCTTTCAGATATATTCTTGAAGTCAATTTTGGAGACAGGGCCGGGGAGGTTTGAAAGCCAGAACAGTAATTGCCCCAAGATTACAATTTAGCATAATTTTCTACAGAAAACCAACAAATTGCCAACAAATTGCTATGCTAATGAAGAATTGCCCTGCTCTGCAGAGAGCATGTACCAAAAGACAACTTATTTATGCCACTCTGTAGAACTAGCTGCTGTGCAGGAGATCCCCTGCTGAATTTTAAAAGGCTTTCATGCAGGGAAAGGAGGAAAGCATGAGAGTTGGCTGCTTTGGCCATTTCTCTCCAGTCATTTCCTTATCCAGTGCTTAAGACATAATGCCAGGCAGCAAGCTGGCCCAGCGCACCGGGCAACTACGGCTTTCTATGTTACGGGCTTTCATAATGCCCAAGGCAGAGGCCACAGGCTATGGATTCCTCAAGAAGCTTTTGAAAAAGAAAAACATCTGCTCCCCCAAATGCCACTACTAACAAGTCAGTCAGTGGTGCTTCTCACATTGAATGCACACCTTTTCTAAATGCACTTCATTTTACTTGGACAACAGAAGTAAGTCAAATTGAAAGGAAGAACGGTCCACTTGGCCACATACAGAACGGCTTTGATCTGTCTCAAGTGCTATCTAGATGCAAAGAGGAATAAGGCAAGAAAACAATGCAGCCCGAGCCTCCCCCTGCTGTTTAGCCTGGTCACGGTCACGTGTTCAGGGAGGGTGACGAGACAGTAGAAGATTTATATTTTGGTTTTCTACTTTTTTCTCCTTGTTTTCTACCTTCCTTTTCTTAATTTAAAAGCTGGTTGCAAGTTCAAAGCCACCCTGGGTAACTTGGTGAGACCCTGCCTCAAAATTAAAAATAATAGTAGAGTGGAGATGTAGCTCAGTGGCAAAGCACTTGCCTCACATGTGTGAAGTCCTGGGTTCAATCCCCAGTACTTCAGTCACTCCATCGAGGATATGGCTAGAAGAGAAAGAAAATACACCAAGGCCTAGGCTAACATGTAACATTTAAGGGATCTGAATAAAATATACTGCAGATGCATGTCATCCTTTGGACTTTTCCATCTGTCTACCAAGAACAAACTAAGTCATTTTTAGATCCCAACTAAAGACAGAAGGCTAATTCAATAATTAAGGTAAACATTTATATTTTTATATAAACATTTATATCAAATTTATATAAACATATTATTATATTAACATTTATATAAAACATTTATATTTTTATGTCTGAAAAAAAAATTCAGTTATAAAGTAGAATTTTTAGACTGTCTTCTGTCCTAGAAGCAAAAGTTTTAAACAGCATAAGGATAGTTAAGTAGTTAGAGTGTTAGATTTCACTTTCTGCAGGTAGTATATCTTAAAAAGACTTCAGTGGAGATTATTATTTCACTATAATCAGAAAAACCTAGAAACAGATTCTAGTCACAAATATATATATATATATATAACATAACATAATCTTGAAGGGGGTCCTAGGCATCACGCCTTGTGCCTGCTAGGCAAGTGCTATGCCACTGAGCCTCAGCCCATCTTTTAGAAGCAGATTCTTATAAAGCTTTTGAATATTTTTATTGCAGGCATCTCAGTTCTTTCTTTCAACTTTCTATAGTCTAGTTAGGGTCCATGTCCCACTCCCTACCAAAAAATTAAAATAAGTATTTTAATAACCATATTAAACTGATACTGCTTGACCATGTGACAAAAATAATAATTGGAGTAACACCTCAACATTTACAAAGCATTTGCCCAAATGCAACTCTGTCTTTACAACAGTGTTACCTATGTAAAGCAAGTATTATTTCCTTGCTTTCCCGAAGGAAAATGAGTAAAAGCATCATTTTCCTTATTTCCCTGAAACATGCCTCTGACACTCACCTGCCAACATCCAAGGGTCAGATGCCCTGCTGGGCAGCAGGTGACCAATCACTTACCAACACACAGGATGTTGAAACAGAATCCTTGAGAAGTAGACTTGTTGACCAATTGGTCCGGGAGACTGTCAAATCCAACATGGCCAGAAAGGGACAAGTTTCGAAGCTCTTCATTCTGGAATTTCAAAGAAGAAACATTTGAGAGGCCATGAACTATACCACCAAACATATTACAGACATTACCTCTTCCCTTCTCTCCTTGACATGTGTGGACAGAAAGAGACTGCCCAGTGTCTACACCCTCCTTGGCTTCTTCACAACAGAGGGCACTAACAACTCCAAAGCCATGCTCTTTCCACAATGTCACCAAATCTCCTTTCTAAAGCAGACTGTATCCCAGGGTGCTTCGTGTGTTATTGTTTTTATTAGGTCTACTGATCCTAAAAAACATAAGCTTCTAGAAGTGCTATTTCAGATATACATTAACTAACATTTAAAAAAAAAAAGACTCTAACCATTTTGATAGTGTCCATCACTCAAGGAAAACTTTCAATTTATTTTCAATGCATAGTTAAACAAACCAACACTCTTCCAGATATATAAAGGAGCTTTCAGAAGCTCACAGTGGAGGATATATACTCATTACAATTAAGGCAATGTTATAACCACCATAATGCAATATATTAAAAACTAAGTGCACAGACTGGTTCCATCTCCTCCATTTACTGTGCAAGCTTAGTGAGGGCTTCTCTGCTCTCTGCACAGTTGCTAGCACAGGCTTTGTACTCCCAAGAGCTTCTCAGAATGTACTGATGGACATTGGGGTAAAGTAGTTATCACACATTTAAAAAGTCGGTAACTTATACTGCTTTATAAGATAACGCTGACTGCTTCTACAACTTTATGTGTGTCTCATGAGTGTTATGGATAATGTAGGAAACCTTGCTTTCCTGGGGAACAGAACTCACCGATGGTCCTTCAATTGTAATACCATGATTATGTTTTACAATTCCAGAATCTGGATACTGAGAGTCTTCCCATTGAAAGCAAGATTCCTGGTAGTCTGGCTGTGTTACCAATGAAATTTACATTCAAAACACTGAAGTCCAGGTGAGGAAATGAGCCTCACTGATCCTTTAAAAAAAAAAAAAAAAGAAAGAAAGAAAGAAAAGGAAAAGGAAGCCAGGCATGGTAGCACAAGCCTGTAAACCTAGCAACTCAGGAGGCTGAGGCATGAGGAGGACTGCAGGTCTTAAGTTGCTGCTCAGCAACTTAGCAAGACCCTGTCTCAAAATCAAAACTAAACAGGGCTGGAGATGTGGCTCTGCAGTAAAGTATCTCTGGGTTCAATTCCCAGTACCACAAAAGGGGAAAAAAAAAAAGAAAAGTTTTGCATGGAATTACTTACTTGATGATTTTTAAAGACTGGTTTTCATGATCCTATTCTATAGTATATTATTATGAGAGTGATTTCTTTTAATAATCAAAGACTGAGACTCCAATTTCAAATTCCTATGGTTACAAAATAGAGAGACAATAATGTGACTTCATAAATGTAGCAATTTAATGGGTTTTAATGGTTTTACTAACAACAATGTCTAAAATCCATACCAGCTCTAAAATTCTGATTCTGTGAACTAAAACTAAAACCCGACACACTGTATGAATACATGCTGGCAGCTGCAGGTCTGAGGTCAATAGGACACAACAGATGTCTAGTCTATGAATAGTTTCCTTGAAACCTGCCAACAGCAGCGAATATCAGACTCAAGAGCAGCCACTTATGCTTTAACAGGATGGCATGGTCCACAGCTCACCAAACAGCTTCGGGAGCAGGCCCAGTGGGCAGCAGTCCTGGTAGCCGGACAAGCCTCCTACCAACAGTGGACTTCTTCCAACCCCAATTCTAGTACCTGCCCCTTCCTCTTCAGATACCTCAAAAGTTCAGACAGCAGGTATTTTTAGGGTGTTTACCACATCCGCCAAGACCTGGGGGAGGAGGATTTGAAATAAGTCCTGGGTTATATTTAAAACTGTTTCCATCACAGCTGCTGCTGTGCACCAGGCTGGGAGTCGCCATTGCAACAGCTTCACTCTCACCATGCAGACCTGAGCAGCTGGGGAATGAATGGCCTGCACATAGAAGAGGCGAGGAAGGACCCCATCCTGCATTCCGTCCACTCGCCATCACAATCATTCCTTTAATTTCTGGGGGGCTGGGGGGTTACTGCTGTGGATTCTAGCTTGTTGGGTTTCTAGAGACCAGATATCCACCCATGAGCCAATCCTAGGGCAGAATCAGAGTTAGTAATTATAGCTCTCATCCCAGAACCCAAAGCTCAGCATCTCATATTCTCACCATTTTCCAAAACATGAGAAACCACCCACACACCCACAGAGTATTTTTATACCCATTGAAAACCACATACAAAATGAAGGGTTATAAAACATTTTGGTCTTGGAATTTTTGAAATTTAAAGTTTCGTCTTCAGAGTCTCTGTCTTCTTTGTGAAATAAAATACGTAAATTTTATAATGCTGTTTTTAAATTTCAAAATTTGAATCGAATTCTCTCCCCAGTATTAAAGGAGAGTCCCTGCCCTATCAGCATGTGGTGGTCAAAAAGGAAATAGAAGTTCCTCCTCTGGTGCATGAGCAATCTTAAAAACCGGAAAACACTGGAGGAAATGCAAGGAGTGGCTCAGAGCAATTTACCTGGTGACTCACACACAGCAGCTGAACTGAATTCCTACACCCAGCATTTGAGGGCACTTTCCTTAGCTGTCACTCACTATCTGAGGAATGCAGGATCTCATTTGAGTCTATAGTCCCAGTTTTAAGAAACTATATATTCCTACATTCCTAATACTATCACAGATCTATAATTGACTCCCCCAATTTTACCTCCAATACTGAACTCTTCACCCAGTTCTTGATTTTTATCATAGCAGGGCTGTTTTCTTGGGGTTTCCTATCTACACTGCAAGCTGATGTTCACAAAACTGAAATCATTTCCTTCTAAACCCAGCGGTCCCTATTTCTGTTAATACTACTGACTTATGCTGGAAACCACCTCCCCTACCACCAACAACTCCAAAGACTTAGCAATGCTACATCCTCCCCCACTCAACTCCTACTAACTCCACACCTCCCTGTCTCCATTCCATCCCTCTCTAATTCTTCTTCCCTCTATATCTTGTGGCCAAAGGCATCTCAGAACTCACAGGCTGCCAATCCAAACTCCTTGGCTTGCCATCTCAGGTCCCCCAGGGGCTGAAGCCACTTCACCCAAGGAGCACCTGGTGCTGCGGTTAGACTGAATTATTCTCTGTGCCTGGGACAACAAACCCAGGGATCTGCCCCTCAGAGAACAGGGACTCACACTATTTTGTCTTATCAGGAAGGACCTCATACCCAATATTAACACATAGAAACCTTCCAGGTTCTACTGAAATTCTACCTGCCAAATCAGTCCTATTATGAAATCTCAGGAGGAGTTTCAGTGAACACTTTCCTTGCCAATAAAAGGAAAATCCTGATTGAAATAAGGGTGGCTCAAGCTATTTGACATTCTGTGATCATCATCATAACGGCTAACATTTATTGACCATCAGAATGTTCCAGAAAAGCCCCAAACACAAATGAACTGATGAAAATAGAGGAACACTAGTTATCTGCCCAAGGTCACACAGCTAGTAAAGCTGAGGAGCTAAAAATTAAATGCAGGAAGTCAACATCAGGCCAGAATCCTTGCACTTGGTCACAGCTATCTCGTGGTTATCTAAGTTTCCAAGTAGCCCTAGACCTCACAGTGCCTTCTGCTGCTGTAAAAACCCAGTGTTAAGATAGGAGGGAAAAAAAAAAAAGTCTCTAAAACCTTAATTCTTTGGCAACCAGAGAGGGTGGAAATTGAGAATTAGAATTGGCAAAGTAGCTCCAGGTCTAGTTTCATTGGTCCTGGCAATGCTGAGACCCAGACTTTGATTTTTGCAGCTATGGCACGTGAAGCCTATAATATAAGGCTTAGGTTTAACCGTTTTTAAAACAAAAGTGCCAATATGAAGCCACTAAGTAAGTAACTATAAGACCTTAATTGATTTAGCCCTTCATTAGCTAATCTGTCTAGTGAGGATTTGTTATTAGATGATTTCTATAGCCCACTACATCTTGAAAAGGGGTATGACTAAGAATGATGCAAAACAAAATAGCTGGTCTTTAACTGGATTCTCTTTTTAGACCATCTCCTCTTGGATATAATTATTTATTAATCCATTTAAAAATAGTACCCAAAGCACTAAGGGAGCTAAAATGTGTTATTTTTGTTTTTCACTAATAACAATCTTCTTGACTCCAAAAAGTTTTACAATGTAGCAGTAGAGACAGAACATACTAAATGTACTACTACTACTACTAGGAATAAAAAGTGGCAGATACCATGACCTCAACTCTACGCAGCCAGGGAGAAATAGCAGCTTTTGGCTACAGAAATGCTGGGGACAGTTCTTAGGAAGGCTAAGCTCCCCCATTCTACCAGTGAAACAAGAATGTGGCTTGCAGAAGCCTTCTACATAAATGCTATCTCTGCCTAAAGGGTCACTTTACTAGGAATGTATACTCTGAAGTTTATAATTGAGAAGTTTTTCAAGATGTCCAGCTGACTTAATTATTGAGACAATTATAAAACAAATTATATAAGAATGTGTGCCAACACCTACTTTCTGAGTACTGCTATCAAATATGTTCCACAGCTCCCAATCTTGGTTAACCAGAGCAGGACAGCAAAAAGCCTGGAGTCTGATGGATCTGAATCCCAGTTTTGCTTTTTCTCTTTGTTCTGCCACCAGTAAAAATGGAGCACTTGGTAGGGTTGCATTTAATAGGTCTTGAAGAAACTTGTGTTTCCCTTCCCTAAATTTCATGAAAGAGACAACTATAATTTTAAAATCTGAAATGAATTAGGAGTGCTATTACGGCTGCAAAGCATTCCAGGAGAAGCTCCTGATCAGCAAAGTGCTTGGAGTAAATAAGAAATTAAAATCCAAAGGGATTAACACACTGACAAAAGAAATCAAGAGACAGAGGATTCTAGCATGAAGAAAATCCACTTTCAAATAGGAGACTCTTAAAATGCTGGAGGCAAAAATAAGAAATACATTCCTGTTTGCAAAATCAAAGG